GCAACCATTGTTTGCTAAACTCCATATGCTTTTCAGACCGCTGGCTTGACCTGCCCAGCTCTGTGTGCCTTCCCCATGGGCGTTCCCGGGAGGACCTGTCTCTCTATCTTGTTGTAAGCATATCCCCTTTTTGGAGGACAAAAATATCTGTCTTCCTTTCCTCTTTCTGATTTTTTTTTTTTAACATCCTATTTTAGAGCTTTGGGGACATTCCCCAAAGCTGACCATCCCTTTTAAGATGGCACATTTAGATAATAGAGCTGCCTCCTGGATCAGATCCAGGACAAGCACAAACTCAAAACAAGGGCAGCCTTCACTGGTGAAATAGTACACCAGTGAAACCCAGAGGCCAAGTTTCACTCTCTCTTAGTTACTCAGAAAAAATTCGTGTAAGGAAACAAAATAAATAGAACACTGTGGGGTCTTCCTTCCTTTTAAACTGGTCCAGATCCATGGTGCTAGTGGTTCCCTATGTTAAAAGTTTCTAGTTGGATCTTTTTCTAGAAATTCCATTAACTCAAAGATAAATTCTAATAGGAATAAAGATGTTGAAATTTAAGAAAACGATTGAAGAATAATTCATATTCTTACTTTACTTAAACAATCGACTTGAAAATCAATGATTTGCCCACAGCCACACTTAGCTTCAGCACTTTCACTTAATGTTAAAATAAGTCAAACAGAAAGGGAACCTGTGGTTCAACAGTGATACAGGCATATTCACTTGTTAAGTTTTTCAATGTTCTTTTTTTTTTTAAAAGATTTATTTATTTATTTATGCATACAAGAGCTGGGGTACAGGCCAGAGATGTGTAAGGTGAGAGGATTCACCAGAGACAGAGTGGGGAACAGAACAGGCAGATTGACAGAAGTACACTGTTGAGGAGAGCAGTGGGCGAGACAGGAGAGGTCTGCCTTGACATGTGGGTGGCTCCCTGGCCAGCCGGTGATCAAACTGATGCTGCAGAGGCTTCATATTGCTCCATAGTGTGGTGCTTAACCATTTATGCCACCAGGGAGACCCTCAATGTATTCTTTATGACAGCAATTTGGGTGTTACAGCAGCTTAGTAGATAGAGTCAGTAGTTTTGGAGTCAGACAATTCTAAATGTAATTTCACTGTCATTTGTGTATCCTTGATGAACATTTGGAATTGCCGTATGTCATTGTTGCCGTATGTCAATTCTTCATCTGTAAAATGGAGATAATAGTCATACAAACTACTTCATTGTTGTAGGAATTACAGTAAAATATCTATGTAAAGTTCTTAGTAAAAAGTCTATAATATGTTTTCTTTTTTTTTAAGATTTATTTATTTATGCATACAAGAGCTGGGGTACAGGCCAGAGGTGTGGGGGGTGGGTTGCTCCCTGGCCAGCCTGGGACCAAACTCATGCTGCAGAGGCTGCAGATTGCTTCATATTGCAGTGCTTAACCCTTTGAGCCACCAGGGAGGCCCCCTATAATATGTTTTCAACTAATGGTACAGTGCTTATCAAGAATATAAGTTCCTTTTTAAATGGTGCATGAATGCTTCAATAGTCAAAATGATTCTCCTACCAGCTTCTATCCTTCCAGTGGATTGTTGGCTTGTTTATCCCTCATGAGTAAATAGCATTATGCAGTCTCAGAGCTGCCCAGGAATGTAAATATTGTCTGGTTGGGAACCTTTTTTTGGGAACAAAAATCAAAATTCTTTGGAAACAACATATAATTGATATTCAAATGAAACTTCAATTTAAAATCAGACATTCTTTGTCTTCAAAACCAATCTTAATGACATAAATGACTAATGCTACTCATCATCTAATTTGAAACCATCCATTAGGTTTGGAAAAGCATTTTCAAAATTACCACATCTTTTATTGTATTGATTTGTGCATTTAATGCAGTTGTTTTTTGGTAGGATGAAGTTTGTCTGCTTATTCCCATTAGGTTTTTTGAAATGAGAAAGGTAATTATGTGTGGATCTTAGTCACTTGTTAAGTTCCAAGTTCTTCTCAAGGAGAAGGTTCAGGTTGGTGATTTTGAACCAGACAGACCTGGTTTCCAAGGTCTTCCTTTGAAACAGGGAGACCTTGAACCTGATACTTAATCTCTAAAACCTTGTGGTTTCACTTAAAATGAGGTGATACTACCATCTATCCATTCAGGTATTTTGAATAGTGCCTGATACAGACTAAGCTAAAAATGCTGGCTATTATTATTCTATTCAAGACAGATTTCCTAGAACACAGAGTAAACATCTTGATTTTAGGGCCATCTATTTTGATTTGAGACCTGTGTTACTGTGCCTGGAAATAAATAGTCTATCCATCTTGCTGCATTCATAGTCTGGGTCCAGTATTCTGTTGAATAAGCCCTAACTTGAAGACAACTAGGTAATGGAGATTGTGGTGTCTAACCTGTCACACTAATTTGAGTGCCCCTGGCTTGGAAGCTCATTAGTCTCAGAAAGAAAAATAATTTATTAAATCAAATATTGTGCACAGATGAAACAACACATCACTTGCTAATTACAAGAGTGAGCAGCATCGCTTTTATGCCCTTGGTTTATGGTCCATTTAGCAATTAACAATGCCCGGTGTCCTAAAAGAAGCCTTCTGTTTGTGCTGCTGGGTTTTCTCAGGAGGAGTTAGAAATAAGATACTTGACAGAGTTTTGTCAGGGAAAAAAAAATCAAAAACTACAAAAAACCACCTATTTTATTTGTTGATAAAATGCACTTGCAAAAATCAACAACAACAGCACATTCACTGACTTTATTTATAAAAACAAATTATTTTTCCTAATTTTGAAAAGCTTTGAAACATACTGCAAACTATTTTTTTTTCAATGCTGAAAATTCTTAGAAACGTATCTCTCTAGTTAATGTTCCTAAGTTAACAGAATCACTTTTATGGAGGGAAGAGCTCTTGCAGAAAAGAATATGCATGCTGAGGAATTAAACCCACTATTTCCCCAGCAAAAGAAAGCCCCCCGACCCCTTTCTTCTACCTGGGAAGCCCCATGGTAGTGCAGAGGCAGGATTTCTAAATTCATTGTCCCTTGAGAATAAACCAAGATTAAAATAGTATAGTAGGGTAAGTGCCTCTGATGTAGGAAAAGGCAATAACTCTGAGGTACTGACAAATATAAACAAGCTTTGAAAAACCAGAATTCATATCAGATCTTACCTCTGTTTTTGCCATTGATTGATGGATGATAGATTGAGACACAACCAGGTAGAATTGTGAATGTGTTTTTCAATGTTCTTTACTTCTGTCAATCAAACTGCTTCTCAGAAAAGTCTCAGTTTTGTTACTTATACTTCACAGTCAAATCAATGTATAGCCTCTCTCATTGTACATATATTCTAGCCTAAATAAATATAGCTGCTAGTGATCAAGCTCTAAATAACAAGCACTAAGCTAAGAATTTTACATATATTATCTCACATAAACCTCACAATCATTCTACGAGGCAGTAAACTATTAACTTATTTTATCAATTGGTAAATTTCAGCATATGAAAGATAACTTGCCCAAGTCTCCACAGCTAATAGAAGTGGTTTGACTTCAGAGTCTGAGCTCCAAACTAACTAAATTGATTTAATGATCTGAATGGCAGGCATGTGAATAGGTGAGGGGGGATTCTCGGAGCTTCGCTGCAGGCTGAAAACAATTTTGCAGGCAGAAGATGTGAGTGCTCACACGCCTGCCGTAGTAGTCATTTCTTATACAGGAATGGTCATTCTCTCACCACTTTCAGGTGGTAATTCTAGTCCCATCTTCCATGACCCTTTAACTTTTTCCAAGAGGAGAAGTACAGATCTTTAGGACCTTCCTGAGAGAGAAAACACGTGAAGGAAGCATAATAAAGTGTCTAGCATCTCATTTCCATTTTGTTCTGAAAGATTCCATTCTGTGAGCAATGTTTTGCTTTTAGCAGGCTGATTTAAGACACGACAGTGCCCATGGCATCCTGTTAGGTTTGAGGAGGATGAATAAGAATATTAACCTTATCCCACACGTCAGAAAATGTGTGGAAAACCTCTGAGGTGAAAAGCCACTGTATCGGGCAGGTAAGAGGAAACTGTGTCATTCAACTTCAGAGTTCACTGAAACTCAAGAGCATGCAAGATAACAATATGAATAGGTTTGAAAAATTAAAAACAAAAGACTAATGAAGGAAAATTAAGATTTTGTGGGTTGTGTCCAAACTTTTTGAAGTTGAAAATAAAAGGGCAAATTCTGCCACTAACAGAGACAGTACACTATCCAGTGGACCATTGAAGCACCCCTTACAGGATTTTATTTTCTCCCTGAAACAAGAAGCAGATCTTGCGTAATGAGGAAACTTGCTCTGCTGCATGGCTTGGTGCTTGTAGGAAAGTCTCATCATCTGAAACCAAACACCAACAACATTCCCCTGGATACCTCCCAAGTGGACTGTGGCAAATGCAGTGATAATCACATACCACTGCATTTTGAAATAATAATGGATCAAAGAGGCCATTTCCACTATGGATCACCCAAGTCTTCCAGAGCTACCAGGACAACTAGGGTCCTCAATCTGCCACACCTTCCAGACAAAAGCTGCAGGGCCTCTTCCCAGGCTTGGGCAGCCCTGGCAAACAGTGTCCAGGTGACAAAATGGCCTCTGAGAAAGCAACTCCTAAATGACTTCTACCAACTGAAGGGGTAAGTTTCAATCTTGTCAATAAAACCGCTAGACCTCTTCTAGATGGTACTAGCATCTCAGAGAAAAATAGGAGTTACAAGGATTGCACTACTCCTTAGGTCTTGGCAGCCACTTTGGGAAGAACCTTTACAATGTGGTGTTCTATTGTTATGAGGAGTCCAGTGAAGGTGGTAGGCACTCATTGCTCAAAAATTCAGTTTTGTACATGGCTGTGGAATGGTGATTTCTGGTGACTCCTCTGTCTTTGTATCTTTAGCTCCAGTTTAAGGATCATGGCTCACTGTCTCCCTCTCATGGGCCAGGAAGTTTTTTCCTGTTGCTTTGGCTGCTGTTTATTTAAACAAAAAGAAAAAAACAGAGAGTCCCAGGTTTTAGAATAATTTCTACCTCTTTAGCATGATTACAATTATTTGGTAGAATCAAATCAGTTTTATCAAAATCAAAATATTTAGACAACTTAGAAACTATTTTGCATTTCAGATTCAGAAAAAGAAAGACAGTGGGCTCCTTCGATCATCATTTCTACCACTGCAGCAGGAAACTGAGTGAATGCCAGTCAGGAAATACAAATCCAGAAGGAAGGCATGTGTCCTTTGTTAGCCACTGTCATCCATAAGCCATACTAGAAGACAAGTCCTCATCCTTCAGGAAAAGCACACACTGAACTGGCACCAGATAGCTTCTCAAGACCTCATTTTTGTCATCGGGAAAATAAGATGACATACACCTCCAAAATCTTTTCTAGCTCCAAAATGTTATCATTACTTCAACATTTATTGATAACCTACCATGTGCAAGATATCATAATGCCTTACAGAAAAACTGATCAAAGCTAAAAAAAGTAAAAAAGGTAAATCTGAGATATGAAAATCACAAGTGATAAATGAAATTTAAAATGAACAAAGGAGTAGTCACACAAGCACAAGTGAAAATTCCCAGGTAAGTTCCGTCATATGTTCAAAGTGGTATGAGGCATCCAGGAGGAAGGGATCATTTGACCTCTTCTATTTAAGGGGATTAAGACAGCTCAAAGGAAACTGGGGCATTGGAACTTGACCTTTAAAGAAGCACAGATTTAAATCAAGTGGAGATAGATATATCAAAAGTAAAAATGATAAATAATACTTTGACTCATTGGTCATTATACATAAGTTATTTGGCACATTAAATAGCACTTAATGGACATTCGTTTGAAGGGTGACTAGAAGAGAGAAAGGGGAAGGAGGAAGGAATGATAATCATCTAGCAAAGCGGGCAAGGGAAAAGTCAAGGTCAAGTTTGGGGATGATCAGGATAGAAAATTAAATAGAAAAGGAGTTTCAAAGATGAGAGTAAAATAATCATATCCTACTAGCACACATCTAATAAAAATCTGTTGTTTGCATTATTACTATTAAAGCCTGTTTATGGCCATTTCATTTCTAAAATTTGCCTTTAAAATAAATATTCCAATCATAAAATAGAGTACAAGTCCATTGTTTACAGCTTAATCCCATAGTTTGTCTAACTTCTCTTTTTGTAACAGAACAGTTACTGATTAAAAAATAGCAATGTTATGACAAATTTCAAATCTCAGAAATGTAATTATTGTAGAATGATTATCAAAATCAAAATCAAATGCATTCACTTGGGAGAAAAGACACTCAGCTTATAAAGCCAGCAACTCATGACATGACCTTGGACAATTGCCCTTATTTGTAAAGGCAGGGGTTGGGCCGGCAAGTTCTAAGACTCTCCCTTGTTCTAACTTGACTAAAAATTGCACGTACATATAGTCAAGGTGGATTACTGTGTAGTCGCACTTGTATCTCAATAAATTACATGGGTCACATACTCCTAGGAATTTTTAGTGACTAATTCCTTAGGTGATTAATATCTGTCACTCACAGCAAATTCATCTGCAAAGTATACCAGCTAAGAATGTGGTAGAGTCTGCAAGTCTGTACCCAATCCTCTGAAAAAATCCCCTTGCTTCTTATAGATGTGTCTAATAATTTCAAAAAAGTAAACTGAAGAAGTTTCCTCAGAACTCTGAAAATTCTTCTTTCACAATAATTGGAAGATGGACTAATGAAAAATACAGAAAAATCTTGTGAACCAGAAGACTATTTTCTGTGGAGCAAAGGGCTATGGGACTTATGATGTTCCCTGCTGTGTCTGTGCGCAGCTGACCATCTGGACCCAACTGTGGCGGCCTCTTCTTCACTCTCCTCTCCAGATTCATACTCTTCATTCACTGCATGAAAGAGTGGCTTAGGCCTTATCACCACCCTTCTGTCTCCAACATGCTCTTCATGGCTTGGGTTTCTCTGATGGCTCAAGTTGAAGTTGGAGGGTTTCCCTTCTCTGTGTAGGCTCTTCATTGGGATCATGTCCTGCGCCAGTCTTCTATCAGGAAACGACCCTGTTCGATGGGGTGGACTGAACATAATGGACAGGAGTTCTGAATCACTGCTATCATTATCTAGGAAAATATGATAATAGGAGGAAAGAAGAAAACTTGAGGTCAGAAAATTAGGACTTGATATCCAGATGGTAGGAACTCAGAGTAAAGCAGAATTCTTCCTGAGGTTCTGTCTTACATTCAACTTTCTTACTCTTGATTTTCCCTTTTTTTTTTTTAAAGGAAACTTTTTAAAAGATTTTTTTTCATACAAGAACTGGGGTACAGGTCAGAGGTACAGGAGGGTGAGAGGATTCACCAGAGACAGTGCAGGGAACAGAACAGGCAGACTGACTGAAGGCAATGCTGAGGGGAGCAGCGGGAGAGGCAGGAGAGGTCTGCCATGCCATGTGGGTATCTAGCTGGCTGGCCAGGTATCAAACCCATGCTGCAGAGGCTGTGGACAGCTTCACAGCACTGCACTCAACCAGCTGTGCCACCAGGGAGGCCCTGATTGCCCCTTTTCAATGAAGTTACCCCAAGAAGGGAAGAAAACAGAAATCATATGTGCATTATTATAATAAATAGAAGCACATGGAAACTTCTGTATTAAGTTACTCTCCTCCAGGTAAACAAAGGAGGTTTTTTGTTTTGTTTTCTTTTCTTTTTAATCAGATCAATTGCTGCAATAAGTACCAGGCCATCAGGCACAAAGACGATTTATGTTGTAATACTAATGCTAAACCACTGAAGGTTATAGGGTACCATGATATGGAAATGTTGATTTTTAATCATGATTTGTTTTTTAATCATTGGTTACAGAAATCTTTAAAATCACGTTTCACCTTTTGACCTTGAAATAGCCAATTGTGGAGAAAGATGCAAGGGAGCCACAGCAGAGAGCCATGCATGGCAAAACAAGCATGACTGGATGCTCTCCTTTCAGAGGAGGAGAGAGGTGAACAGACTGTGGCAGACACACGATAATGGTAATGATGGTGGCACTGATTCCCTGAGGACCTGCTATGTGCCTTTTACTGTGCTGGTCACTTTACATCTACTATGTGATTTAAGTCTCAGAACAACCCTTGGAGATCAGTATAATTATGACCTTCATGTCATAGGTAAAGAGGCTGAGGCCTCAAGAGGTTACATATTTTCAGCATCTCACAGTGAAGATGGGACTGGAGTTTGAAAAGTCTTGTCCAACTGTGTATCCCTCTTCCCCAGGCTGTCACATTTGCCTTTATATACATCATGTGTGGGTCAGGAGTGGTATGTCAAGAGTATAGAGAAGAGAGAAAGAGACCGAGACAGGGATAGGGTTGGAGGGCAAATAGAAAAAATAGACAAAAGCAGAAACAGAAATGTCTCCAAAAAGTTCTCTAAAAATATGAAACATTTTCCAACCTCACTAAATATCAAACATATATAAAAATTAATTATAGTATATAAATTTTATCTTATAATACTTTAAATTACTCAAAAATCTGATAATATCACAGTGATTGTAAAAAGTATTCAGAAACAACAATTTCTCACTGTTGGCTTGAGGGTAAATTTAAATATAAGTAATTTTTTAAAATACTTTTTAAAAAAGATTTATTTATTTATGCATACAAGAAGTGGGGTACAGGCCAGAAGTGTTGGGGGGTGGGTGAGAGGATTCACCAGACAGAGTGGAGAACAGAACAGGCAGATTGACTGAAATACACTGCTGAGAGGAGAAGCGGGCAAGACAGAAGAGGTTTGCTGTGCCATGTGGCCATGTGGGTAGCTCCCTGGCCGGGGATTGAACTCATTCTGCAATGGTTGCAGATAGCTTCATAGGTTGTGTCTTAACCCCTTGTGCCACCAGGGAGGCCCCTAAATATAAGTAATTTTTTTTTAAAGATTTATTGATTGATTGATTGATTGATACATACAAGCACTGGGTACAGTCAGAAGCGTGGGAGGGTGAGAGAATTCACCAGAGCCAGAGCAGGGAGCAGAGCAGGCAGAAGGACCGAAGTACACTGCTGAGGGGAGCAGCGGGCTGCAGGAGAGGTCTGCACGCCATGTGGGACCCTCCTCCAGTGGCCGGGGAGCAGCCGGGGATCGAACCAGCGCTGCAGAGGCTGCGGGCAGCTTTGCAACCCAGCGCTCAACCTCTGCGCCACCAGGGAGGCCCCAAATATAAGTAATTTTTGACTTAAAATAGTTTGCTTCTAGGAAGTATATTAAGGCTATAATTGGTTATTTATGTAAAAATCAATCATAAATGGTTCAAGATACTTCTTATATAACATTTTTTGTATTCATTAAAAAAACTGAAAGTATTGGGCCTCCCTGGTGGCACAGCGGGTTGAACACAGCCCTGTGAAGCTGTCCGCAGCCTCTGCAGTGCATGTTCCATTCCTGGCCTGTCAGGGAGATTCCCACATGGCAAGCCCACTGCTCCCCTCAGCAGTGCTTTCATCTGTCTGCCTGTTCTGCTCCCCACTCTGTCTCCAGTGAATCCTCTCACCCTCCCACACCTCTGGCCTATACCCCAGCTATTGTATAAATAAAAATAAATCTTTAAAAAAAACTGAAAGTATCTTAAATATTTGCTTTTTTAAAAAGATTTATTTATTTATGCATACAAGAGCTGGAGTACAAGCCAGAGATGAGGGGGCGGAGGACGGGGGGATGAGAGGATTCACCAGAGACAGAGTGGGGAACAGAACGGGCAGACGGACTGAAAGCACTGCTGAGGGGAGCAGTGGGCAAGTCAGGAGAGGTCTGCTGCTCCATGTGGATTGCTCCCTGTCCAGCCAGGGATCGAACTCGTGCTGCAGAGGCTGCGGATTGCTTTCATATTACAGTGCTGAACCCCTTGCACCACCAGGGAGCCGCCCTTAAATATTTGTTAATAACTAAACAAGCTGTGGAAATTTTATATAATCGATTGTTTTTAGATCATTAAAAATGACTGTTTCCCTGCTCCCCAAAAGTAGAAGGTCCTATTTGGTAGGTTATTTTCTGGGCCTGGGAGTACCAGACCCAGATACGAAATATGTTTGCTTTCCATTCACACAGGAAGAAGAGCCAAGCATGCAGGTTACCTGTGGCCTCAGTAGCCCTCACATCTCTTCTCACAGACTGAGGATGGCTATAGGGAAAGGAGAGGTAGCGGATGTTTTTGGGCTCAGCCTGTGGGTAACAAGTAGAAATTAAAGCAGAGTTAGCTACTGCAGCTCAGAACTTCACAGGGTAAGTAAAGTGAAGGCCCCACTACCGACTATACTGCAGCCACTTGTTTTGTTTCAAGAGAGCAGAATGACTTCTCTATTTCTTTTCCCTCTTGGGATAAGATAGACCATGAAGAGCTTCTCAAAGTTGCTTCCACAATCCCACTGAGATTAAGATAGAGCTTATTTTCAACCAACCTCTATCCAGAATTTCCAATAAGACTGGTTTGATTCGGTCTCAAATAGAACAGTTCAGGTGGACAGTGGACGACATGAAGATGAGGTGAAGCATCTTGACAAGAACAATTTCCTCCCTTCTCCCTTTAGGGAGAAAAGAGGGCTTCCCAGAGCCAGCTTAATCCTCTGTCCTAGGACTCAGTACCTGGTCACTGTGGGATGGTTAGGACTCATCCAGTAAGTGTGTTCCAGGCCCAGACGCAAGCTGGGGGCAGTTTGCTGCCATGTGCCCCACAGACCACACCCTGGACCCAGGGAAAGAGGCTGTCTCGGTGTCCTTCACCCTCTGACTTTCGTATTCAGCTTCTTGTTTGCTTAGCTGTCAAAGGCAGTCACCCGAGGAGACCTATACAGGGACAGTGCAGTTCTCAGGGCCTCAACAGCCTCCACCTTACCGGTTTTCCCCAGGGCAGGCTCTGGCCTTTCCTCATGCTCTCTCGTAAGGTGTTCTGGCGGCGGATCAGGATCTCTTTAGCCTGCCTCTCACTTGTTTGGGGTTTGAGGTTGTATTTGTTGTAGGACAGGGTCTGCAGAAAGAATGGAATGTCAATACTCAATGATGTGACCAGTACAAATTGAATTTTAACCTCAGGAAGCCACAAACCAATCAAAACTACTAGCACAAGAGGGCACCACGGAGGTATTTCAAGCATGTGCTTCAATTACAGAGGAGTGAACTGTGTCCCCAAGACGAGAAGCCTGTGACCAAGACCACCCCAACCAGGGCACACCTGTGGTAGGAGCCTGTGCCTCAGGCTGGCCCTGCAGCTCCACACCTGGGCCACCTCTGTGCTCCCACAGCAGTTGTTTGAATTAAATGGATCAGGAAAATATCGAAAACACTTTGGAAATTCCCATAAGATTGCTGTTTTTTAAATTTTATCCATTAAAGTCACATTTAAAAAAAACAACCATTTATTATCACCATTCTCAAAATGAAAGAGGGCTTTGATTAAAAGATGAATTCCGATTTCATTAATATTAAGTTGTGGAAAATGTGCATGTTCCAATAAAAGAAATAGGTTATATACAAAAATAAAGACCCCAAAATAAAAGCCAAAACAGTAGAAAGGTCAGAATAGGAAAAAGGTTAAAAAAGAGTCTTTCAAATTGAATCAATTTAGTTTTATGAAATATTTCTTCCTTGTCCTTATACCAGTTGGATGATACAACACTGGTGTTCAGACACATGTTTCCAAAGCACTTAACTGGAAATTGCTTTTTCTTTTTTTTTTTTTAAGATTTATTTATTTATGCATACAAGGACTGGGGCACAGACCAGAGATGCAGGGGGTGAGACAATACACCAGAGACAGAGTGGGGAACAGAACAGGCAGACTGACTGAAATACACTGCTACGGGTGAGACAGGAAAGGTCTACTATGCCATATGGGTTGCTCCCTGGCTGGCTGGGGATCGAACTCGTGCTGCAGAGGCTGTGGATTGCTTCATAATTCTGTGCTTAACAGCTTGTGCCACCAGGGAGGCCGGAACTTGCTTTTTCAAGGTGCCAGTTTCCCCTGAGTCATTGGTCCTGCTAGTTAATGGGATTGGAATCCTGGCTAAAGGATGCTTTGTTGAGAGTATTCAGTTCAACAGCAATAAAGCAAATGTTCTAATGCCAGGTGTCATGGTAGGCACATAATTTTATAAAATGGGTAAGTTAAAATTCTGATCTCCAAAAGACTAACAGTCTATTGGGGCGGGGGTGGGAAACACAAAATACTATTTTGTGTTCAGATAAGTCAGCATGCACAAGGCAGGCAGGCCAGGGGGGCAGTAGACTGGCAGTCCTCCCAGCACCCTACAAATCTTATTCTTTCTCTTTGGGCTCTCTCTGGCCTCTTCTCGTAGTCCTGCCTCTCTGTAGTCACTCGTCTTGTCCTCTTGTTTCTTCTGCCAGAGTGGCGCTGCACTTATAGCCTCAGCCTCCAGGCTCAGGTATGCACACTTACACATGCCCACACCCTACTCCAGGTGTCCACCATCAGGCATGAGTGCCCTGTGCCCATGCTCCTAAGTGCCTCCTGCACTCAAGGGTGTAGATGATAGCCAAAGAGACCAGCAGCATAAAAGCCTGACCGTCTCATTTACCCTGCAATAAGATATTGGGATCCACAGGGAGTTACAGAACAGGCAAAGGGTACTTAATTCATTCTTAGGTGGAAATGGTGTATTGCACTGAACTGAGTCTTGAACAATGAGTGGATGTTCTCTTCAGGAAGATGAACCACATGAGACAAGATATGAGAGAACTGAGAGGGGGAGGTGAGAGGGGCCACTGTAGCTAAGCTGAGAGTTTGTTACTACAGAAGAAAATAGTTTATTCAAAGTGTTGTGAGAACGGGCCTCCCTGGTGGCTCAATGGGTTAAGCACAGCACTATGAAGCAATCTGAAGCCTCTGCAGCAAGAGTTCAGTCCCCGGTCGGCCAGGGAGCTACCCACATGGCACAGCAGACCTCTCCTGTCTCGCCCACTGCTCCCTCAGCAGTGTATTTCAGTCAGTCTGCTTGTTCTGTTCCCCACTCTGTCTCTGGTGAAACCTCTCTAACCCCCCGCGTCTCTGGCCTGTATCCCAACTCTTGTATGCATAAATAAATAAATCTTAAAAACAAACAAAACAAAGTGTTGTGAGAAGTGAGACTGGGAGTACAGAAAAAGGTAGGGGCCAGGCCCTGGACTGTTCATCAAGGCAGGAGACTCCAACCCCTAGAGCAGGATTCTCTGAGGTGTAGCTTACACACACTGTCAGGGATGCCACAGGCTGATCCCTGGAGTGAGAAATAAAAAACTAATTCCTATATTTCTTTTTAGTTTCACTAAAAATGTAAAAGAGATTAAAGTTCATTATAAAATATATGGATTTATAATAGAACCTCAGTTTGCTTGAATAGGAGTGAGTCAAATTTCTTATTAAAACAGAAAAGGGTATTTATAACAAAGTGGGGCTGACAATGATGTCCTCATTGGCTTCATTGGTTTTTACTTTATTGTTTGTGTTTTAGTGAAATGTATCCACTTAAGCAGATTTGTGGCTTTGTGAGGAAAAGGCTGAATATAAGGCATCAGTTGGGATCTCACTAAGCTTGCTGACATTCTTCAGACCAGGAAGCTTTTAGCTATTTATCTAAGGCAGCATGTGATAGTCTAACTGAAACAGTTTCACTTGGAATGATTTGGAAGCTGTTGTATTTCCTCTAAGAACGCTGTGATTTATGCCGACCTCAATCCCTTTAGCAGGTGCAGAGCATTCACTGACACTTGCCCATTAATCATTGACTTTTCTGAAACAGGAGAGCAGAATATTCACTTTCACTGGATCATGTGAAAGAGTATTGGATAGCTGAGTGGAAGACATAGGTTCTTACCAGGGACTGATTTCATGACCTTGGATAAGTCATTGCTTACAAATCAAGGATTCCCCCAAATCAATATCTTCTACTCAAAAATGATGAGCTCTGACTGGATGATTTTATGAAATTATTTTTTGTGTGTACATTCAAGAATATGATCTATAACATAATCAAAAAGTGAATTCATTTGTTATCATACTCAAAAATTGGAGTGGACAACTGAATCCTCAAACTTGAAAAAACTCTTAATTAGAGGGCACAATTTTAAACATGACCTCATTAAGCCAAGGTTTCAGAAAGAATCACACGCCCCCCACAAAAATCTTCTTACTCTGTCCTTTGAACCATTTCCCAGTGCTAACGTAGACTCCATACCTTTTTTCCAAAATTGAAAAATAATATGCCTAATATGTTTCCTTTTATTTAGACTTTCAGCATTGTCATTTCAATATTTTAACTGAAAGCCTTTCAATTTTTGAAGTTCTATTATAATCAGTCAGCTGAGACAACTTTCCAGGGTGCCTGTGCCATCTTTTTTCTGTAGTTGGTGGATAAGCCCACCTTCTCTGGAAAGAAAGGGAAACCTGATGTTTCTGGAAAACACAAAATTTCCAGACTAGGGCAGCCTGACCTCTAGGGTCAGGTACTGGATTTGCATTTCTTTTTTGACCACAGATTCCAATTTTGCAGCATAAATGTAAGTATGAAATTTCAGTTCTCCCAAACTAAACATAGAGAAATTGTTCAGCGAGAGGACTACTTTAGAGAGGCTAATGAGAACAAGAATGGGTTGCCGAAGAACTAGTTCCAAGGACAGCAAGTGGACAAGTCAATGTTCATACATACCCTTTGGCGGACTTGGTACATGCTGTGTGTCAGAATGTGCCTCATGGACTCCACATCTTCAGGAGAAAGCCTTTTGATTCTTTGTATCCTCTGGGCCCTGCAAACACCATTGGAGGAAAGTCAAGCATTATTCTTCCTTCTTGACAAGGGTATCATGAAAGTACCAATGCAGTTGTGAGGGTTCTAACTTCCAGAACCCTCTTTTTACCAAATCGTTCCAACTGTTTTAGTAAATACATTTGACATGTCAGCATATGTATCAAGCTACAGTTCTGAAATCTTGTATGTTTTTTGCCTATAGCTTTTGTGTGGGAATTGCTCTCTTTTTAAAAAGTAGGGTTTGAGGTAGTGAATGACTATTTCCCTCCATGACTGTTATGAACAGATACATTTGTAAAATGCAATGAATCTATTATCAGAAAATGATTTTTTTTAAAGATACCACAAAAATGCAAACCAAATCCTTTACTGTTAGATCCAAGAGAAATAAAATGACTCAGCCCAGGCTGACCCTCGGTTCAGTCTGTACTTATCACAGACAGGTGACAAACTGCTCAGAGACAGCACCATCTGCACCCACATTTTGAGTAGCATTGAGTGAAGACACTATTAAAGTTTAAATATTTTTATGAATATGTTTATCTCAGTATTGTTCCTTTAGGAATTTTATCTTTGGTTAAAGAATAATTGTTAAGAAAACTAGAATCATATTTCATAAGGGTTATTAGACCATTTCCACCACAAAAACCACCCTAGCTCCAAGACACTGGATGCTCTGTGAGATTCTAGAAGCAGCTGGCTGCCCACTGCCTCCGCATGACCAACTACCCACAGCTTTCTTCCCTATAAGCCCCCACCCCGAAGAAAAGGGTTCAAAAACCAAGTCATTCCCAGGTTAGCAGTCAATGCCCAATTGTCTTCAGAGGATTTCAAAGTCATGGCATTGCTATGTGCAGAATTCTCATGTGACAAATGTATTTGATTTCAATCATTTCCATCTAGTGGTAGCAATTTCTAAAAACCTTTTATTGTAAGAATAACATGGTCACTATCAAACATAAAAACAAAAAAGAGAGAAGTAAAGAAAACTGAACTCTTCTATAATATCACCTCCCTTGACATGTTGGTATAAACCTTCCAGGTTTGAGAGTTTTTCCCCTAGGGGCAGCTTTGCTGAATCAATAAAGACTCAGTTGTGCTTGCAAAAGGTATTATGATCATTGATCACAGAAATGAGTGGTTATTATTTACATTGCAGGCTACCTTTTAAGGATTTTTTCTCCAAAATAATAGCAAATAGCCATAAATCGCAAGGACATTTTATAAATAATGTACAACTGGTAAAAGATTTTTAAGGGCTTGGATACTAGATATCACAGTATCCTGGTATTTATTTAGCAATTCTATCTGTAAAATTGACCAATACCCTTTCTAAAAAATCATTAAAATCAAAGTTTCCATATCTCAGAACTGCAAATATCAACACTATTGTCATTTAGTTTCCACCCTTGGTGATATAAACATTATTATCAGAACATTTCAACTTAACTGTTTAAATGTCCTTCAAATAAAATTTATTCTGACTTAGATACACCCACACATTCCCACAATCTGAACAAATTCCTTTATTGGATGAATGTAATCTATGGCTAAGTATTAAGAACAGCTAATCAAATAGTTCCATTTTTGTGTGTGTGTTCAAATAGGAAAAACCATCCATTAGTAAAGGAAATGGGAGTTAAGCGAGATAGCAGTAGACCTATATTGGCAGCTCCCCAGGTTGTAACTGACCACTTTGGTAAGGAACAGACTTAGTTGAGGTGCATTCAGGCTGCTAGCTGGATGAGTTATACAAGTATCCCCAAAGTATTGTCTCTCCCTGATCCACAAGGAGAAGATGCAGCTATTACCTTACACAGAGGAATTATTAACTTTGGCAAGATGATAGCTGTAGTTTTCTACATGCCATTTCGTTAGCAAAATCTTTCCTAAAATGATGATATCATGAAACAGAAAGAAAAATCCTTGAAACAATGGAATATTAATAATCTCTTGGTAATAAAAACAAATTTATAAACTGAAAGACTTGTCACTACAACAGTCAATCATTATCCGTAAAGGAAATCTCTGTCACCTTAAAGTTCTATGGTTATTTCATGGCAATTAAAATCAAACTGGAAAAAATTAGCACCTAAATGTATTTCAATAAAAGGCGCACATTTCTTTTAACCTTTTAAAAATCAGATGATACAATAAAAAAAGCTTTAATTCTAACAGCATACAGATATGAAATTTAATAGATGTTGTATTCATACCATAATGTGAATTCCCAGAAGAAGGAATCCCATGCATACCCTGATTCGTTTAGAAGAATCCAGTCTTAAAAGAGACTTGTAGCTTTCTACAAGAATCCATGAGAAATACATGCCAAGATGACTGCAGGACTGTCCACTGAGTAAACAATGGTAGCCAGCAGCTCTTCTGTGTGTGTGAGGTTGCCTTGTGTCTCTTCAAAAAATTCCCAAGGATACACAATGTATAGACTGAGGGAAGAGTGACAGAGAGGAGAATCCAGGTCCCTACAACAATTATGAAAGTGAAACCCCAGAATCTCTGGTATAAGAATGTGTAAATGTGAATGCAGGTGATCAACATGAGTCAATGTCATCAATTTGAAAATTATTAAACTATCATAAATTAATGTATGTCTTTTTATAAGCAGTGTGTTGAAACTTAGAGGAGTTTTAAAACAATATTTTGAAGTTGTATAGTTACAGCTTGTGATATCTACAAATTTATAAATATTTTAATGTTCCTTTATTTTTTTTTTTAAGATTTATTTATTTATTTATAAAAGCACTAGGTACAGTCAGAAGCGCGGGAGGGTGAGAGAATTCATCAGAGCCAGAGCGGGGAGCAGAGCAGGCAGAAGGACCGAAGTACACTGCTGAGGGGAGCAGCGGGCGGCAGGAGAGGTCTGCGCGCCATGTGGGACCCTCCTCTGGTGGCCGGGGAGCAGCCGGGGATCGAACCGGCGCTGCAGAGGCTGCGGGCAGCTTCGCAACCCAGCGCTCAACCGCTGCGCCACTGGGGAGGCCCATTGTCCCTTTAATATTAAATGAATTCATTAAAGCTTTGACATTTTTAATCAGTTTGAATCTCTGTCCTCTTATATTCTAAGATCTTACCACTCATTGGCAATAAGAGACTTCATATTTAAGACAATAAATCAAAGCATGTACTCTACTTAACCTATAGGTTTTTTTAGGGGGTTGAAACAAAATAATGTATATAAAAGTAATGGATTTCCATAGATTCAACATCATCTGCACTGTCATGGGGTTTTGAGGGTCACAGAGTTTGGAAATCTAAACCCCTTGTAGAACAATTGGTTAAACTTATAAAGAAAAAAATATATGTGCATTTTGTTGTTATCTCATACAAAATAATAAAAAGCGAGCTGAGTACACACTTCTTTTTCCTATTATTGTATGAAGGTTTGTTTTTTAAGAAATTAGCTGCTTTGATCTTAGGAGAGGAATTCCTTTTTGCCTGATGTCCTACAGATTACTGATGAGATCAAATACATGCAATTTAAATACTAAGTTTGAATTAAATAGCAGGATAAAAATCTCCTCTCCTACCCAGTTAAACTAACTGGTTTGGCCTACAGGAAAAAAGAATGTCTCTAACCTATAAGACTCACTTATTAATCTTGAGTTAATGTCCAAAAAATAATTAATTCAATGGAAGTAACTCCCTCCAAATAAAGTTGGCTTAAAAATTGTCTTCAGGTCAGAAACTGAGCCAGTTGCATATGACTGGAGCAATGTAATACAGTGATTCAAACGATGTTTTAGCATAGAATAGACTGATTTTCATTTGAGATAAGTGCTCTGACATTCTCAGACCGAGTGCTCACATAACTTGTGAGCAAACCAATGGAGGAAGTTCCTAATGGTTTAGGTGCCTGAACCTGTGCTGCCTCCTGCAGAGCTTTGCTTTTACTTCCCTTCACCCCTCAGTGAGCAGGCAACTTGTCTGAGGCCTAGATGAGGTTTGCCTCCTAAACTCACAACACTCCCTAGACTTGATGATACACATTTGTGTGGCCTTTTTTTAAGATTAATGTCATGATCTCCTGTTTGGGTATGACAGGGACAGTAACAGTGTCTGCTCTCACAGTCCAGGCACATATGGGCGGCCTAGAAACAGGCTGGGCCTATGGGGAGGTGCTCACCTCCAGCACAAATGTAAGTGGGAACTAAAAACGTCAGTAATAAAACTAAGAATTTAATGCAATGTTTTAAAAAACAAAGGTTAATGCAAAAAAAAAAAAAAAACCCGCACACAATGAATAAAATGTCACTGATTTAAATAAAGACAGGGTCAGTATTTCTGATTTGTCCTTTTGCCTCAGGCTGTCCAGTAAAGCTCAGGACAGCATGACTTGAAAATATTTGTTGGCAGATTCCCAATTTAGTATAAGAAGTTTCCTTAAAGTCATGTAATGGACAACATCAGAACTAACAAACCAACCACAAAAACAATCTCACTGCGAAATAAGGCAAAAATCTTTCTGTTTAGACCCAGGTCCCCTAAGGGATGTCAGTTAAGATTTTTCCCAGATCTTTTAAGAAGGAGGTCGGTGTTTCTGATTCATTAGCAAGTAAGAGATGAAAAATAACACCCAGGCATTAGCAACAATTTTAATGCCAGCTATTCTTAGCTCTTCTCCCAATTTGCTTTTCAAACACAAGGACATAATTAAAGCCCATGATCAAGTGTCATCATTACCTGCTGAAGATACAGGATGGAGGTGCTGGTGTTCTTTGTTCTAATTATACATTGTGACTATCTTCCCAATTCATAAACCATTTCTTGGAAGAAAACTGGGGTGACTTAATTCTTACAGCATTGAAGGAGCTCTTGTAATATGTCACAGTTAAAACTACTTTAAAAAATATCTAACCAGATCTTGGGATGACTAATTCAGATGCTCCAACAGAAGTATACCGCCCCCACCCCTTGCCTCCACCCCTTGCCTTCACATCAACTCCTTAAGGTCCTCTGTTCCACAAGAAGTGAAGCCCCCCTGCTCCTATTCCAAGCGGATCTAACATACACTCAAGGCAAATCTCACATTCATAGAGATCTTTGCATTAGAGATGATTACAAACATAGCTTTCTCTTTAAATGGCTTACCAGGGCCTCCCTGGTAGCACAAAGGTTTAAGATGCAACCTAGGAAGTCATCCGCAGCCACTGCAGTACAAGTTCGATCCCTGGCTAGGGAGCTACCCACATGGCGCAGCAGACCTCTCCTGCCTCACCGGCTGCTCCCCTCAGCAGTGTATTTCAGTCATTCTGCCTGTTCTAGTCCCCACTTTGTCTCTGGTGAATCCTGTACCCCAGTTCTTGTGTGCATAAATACATGAATCTTTGATAATTAAATAAATGGCTCACCAACAATCTGTATCTCTTGCTGCCCTACTCATCCCAAATCAATGTTAGCATCACAGGTAGAGAAATGACTTACAGGGGAAAGGCAGTGGTAGGAATAGTAGAATCAAGTCGAGAGGGGTTAAAGAGTAGAAATTTCTAATCAGGAAGAGGCAGAGAAAGTCTTGTGAAATACGCTATAATTCCATAAATTGACTAACCCCCACCCCCAGAATAATGTGTCATATGACTACACATAGGCATTTTTGGCTAGGAAGAAATTTTAGAAATTAGGTGAAACAGATTGAGTATGGGCCATGCTACAAAAAATGCAAACTTCATCTCTTTTCATGATTTCTTCTCAAATTTCTTCCTCTTCACTCCTAGTATTATTTTAAATGAAACAACAAAGAATGACCCTTGGAATTCTAACATTGAAAGTCTAGATCAAAGAGCAGAAATGACTTACTGATGGGGTATGGAAAAGGCTGTGGAATTTAGTATCCCAGTCTCTACCATCTCAATAGCTTGCTTCATTTCCAACTTTTTGTACAAAGAAACAATGCTTGATTTTGGCAGGTTCTTTCGAATTAGGATTTTCCGTAAATATCTATGATCAAATTTCTTGAACCTGAAAATGAAAACCAACATTTTGGAAATCATTAATCTCTGTATGTTTTATGTAAGTATGTATTTTTCTTAAAACAAACTACTCTTTAACTTTACTCCGAAAACACCAGGACAGTGCCTGGAATTCATAGCTCTTGAAAACATTTTTTAATCATAGAATTTATACATCTTTTTAAAATAAAGAAAGAGCGGCCTACTGGTCTGAATACATTGAAATTCAACTAAACAAAAGGAAGGGACAAGCTGCAATCAGGGCAAAAAGTGTGCGTAAGTGTGGAGCAGGGAGGCCCAGCCCAGCCCAGCTCCAATTGTAAGAGCAGAAATGAGGGGGTTGAGGCTTTTGAACAAGCGTTCCATTCTAATAGCTCATAACAGTGGCAGCTGCACTTACAGTAATACTGGGCTATTCAACCAGAACCCAATAAGTTTAAATGGCCCAGTAGTTACAGTAGTTTTGCCCCATTATGCTGCAGATCATTTTGAATCCTGCCAATTAACGGGAGGGGAGGAGAACCCACATATGTCCCGACAGTCTGAATGATGGAGACTGAATAGGCTAGACGCTGATGGCCGCTAACTATTGTAGCGAACCCCTGGGCAACCCATTAGGCTGAGCTGCACGTAGGCATATGGTGCCTTCAGAGTCAGAGTCGTTTGTTTGGAGTTGGAATTTTCAACACTTGCAATCATTTTACATTCAAAGAATAATTCATCTGCTTGCTTTATTTTCTGGAAGGGAACACAACTCCCTGGGCTGCTGGCTTATTATCTGGTGATTGGTTTTCTGGTCTGTGAGGCGGACAAGCTCTTTATCACTCAAGTCTCCTCTGGGTTTACTAAGCTGTGATTCCTTGAACATTGTGATCTCTATTTGGCTTATACCAGGCTCACTCTTGCCCCAACTGGGTCATTCCTCAGGCTTCTGGTTTTCTCATCCTCTTCATGACAGGCTATTGTTCCTGTTTGTTCTTCAACCCACTGTAATCATCTTCTCATCCATCACAACTTACTTGATTCTGTTCACACTGAGCTCACCTTGGCCTTGTATTGTTCAAAATCAGTGGTCACTACTATCCTTGCCCTACTCATCACATAATACCTCCTTACACGACTTTGGGTCATTTCCTATGTGCCCTTTACATCCTGATTCACACCTGCTTCCCTTCTAACCTCCTAACAACTTACCTTCGTCTTCTCTGCCCTTACTCTCCCTTACCTACCCCACAAGAGCAGAAGTTTCTTAAAGTCCTGACCTCAATCTGCTTTCTCTCTTCATAGCCTGTAGTAAAATCACTCATGCACATGACTTTAGCCACCAAACACTTTCTGACCACTCACAACATTTGTAACATTTATCTGCAGCCGTGATCTTCTTCATGAACTTCAGGCTGAATTCTAAAAGGTAGCTGAGTATATATTTGAGATCTCTTAAAACAAAACATATTATTTAACTCTAATCATTCTTCTATAGTTTATATATTAAACCATGACATTGATTTCTTGCTAGATTCCTATCTGGAAATCTGAGAATCTGATCATCATTCTTATTTTCTCTTCCCTCACCCTTCTCTCCCCTTGTCCATAACCAGTCATCATGTCCAGCTCAGAAATATTTTAGTATCCCTTCAGCTACCACCTTAACCTTACTGGTTTGATAGCTCTATGGTTCATTGAAAAACAGAAGATATTTTAAAGTTAGACCTGAATTCAAGTCAAGGTTCCATTCTAGATTAGGTTAATTGACTTCATAGAGTTGGTTTCTTCATTTTTAAATGAGAGCAGCAATAACACTGGAGTGTTAAAGGGATCATACAAAATATAAGGAACAGTACGGTACTTAGAGCTTATTCCATGTTTATAAGATGGTAGTGTTATGAAAAATTTCTTATATTTATATGAAAATCCCCTTAAAGCCTCCTTCTTCCAATACCTCCTATTAATCCAGCCTCCTTATCACTGTTGCAGTTTGCCTTTCAAAAACCAAGTTATGGCTATGCCACCTCATCTATGTGAAAGTCTTCAGATATAAGATTTTAAGGGTCAAACAGAACTTACTAGTATTAATGGCTGTGCAAAGCTCCTTAATTCTGATACATAAAGACATGTCTCTGTGTTTCCAGCTTCTTGTCTCACTATGTCACTCCCTCTAACCATCTCCAAACCATGCTAAGCTTTTTCTTGCCTCTGAATGTTAAAATACACTGCTGCTGCTGCTGCTTGGTGTGCTTTCATTCTTCTTTGCCTGGAATTCTCATGTATTTTACAAACCCATTCCCATTTCTATATTATAGTTCTATGCATTTCTATCTTAGTTATGGCATTTCCCATATTGCTCATGATTATTTGTTCAGAATCTTTCTCTCTTTCTGCCCCACTCACCAGTTTACCTCCTACCCATCCACTATATTGTGAGGACCCTGAGTGCATTTGCATGTGTTTTATTGCTCTTGTTATCTGTTTCACTGTTCAGAAAACTAAGTATATATTTGACCAAGTGGAAGGATGTTAAATATTTTTTTCATTGGGAAAGCTATGGGATTTAGACTTCAAAGCCTATGACCTAAGTTCTAGATAAGTGGATATTCACATAATTTGAATTCTACCTTAACATGATGAGGACTGCTAACACTATTCTCCATTTTCTCTCATGACTAGAGCTGCCCAAAAGCTTTCAGCTTCTCTTTTAGATGCAGCCACCCACATCAGCCAGTCTTTTTAAGGTTCAGTCTTCCTTGGCATCACCAACATCTAGGTATTAGGGGGAGCAGTCTTAAGCCCTAGAAACGAAATTTCTCTAGTTTGATTAACTCAAATAATGCTTTCCCCTACATCCTTCGAATAACTGTGTATAACCCCAAAACTCTCTTGTTCCTCATCCTCAAGAGAACTCTCCTAGGAGTCATGTAATTTTATAAATATGGCTGAAGACCAAATCCAGGTTGAGAATGAGTTCTGAAATGTGAGATGTGGTAAAAATGAGAGACTTTGACATCTTGTAGAATCACTACATGGGAAGGGTGCATCAAGGTCTGCTTCAATTGTAGCCTCTCCAACGATGGAGAAATTTCTTCCCAGGTTCTTGATGAGTCATGAAACTCCCTTTTCAGCCTCACAAAGTCGAGAAGTCTGTAGTTAGGCTTCTTCTTTGGGAATCTGGTCTTTGTTTTAATCAAATCTAACTTCTCTAATTAATGCTGTAAATGGTATTAACTTTTTCTGAAGCAAACTTGCCAGGACTAGGTTGACTTTTTTTCCCCAGATAGCTCTCCATTTTCCAGGTTACACATTCCCAGGGCTTCTACCTGCTACGTTTATGACCTGGTTTCCCGAACTTTTATCTTTCCTGTCCCCTTCTCTAGATTCTTTCTAGTGATATGCTCAAATTCTGATATAATCTGTTGAGGTTCCTTCATAAGTAGTGAAATCCTCAGCCTCCTTACTTGTCTCTCACTTGGTAATGGCTCCATTGCCCACACACATCTTCAATTCCTGCCTTCAAGTGATCCATTAGCTGTCAAATCAAACACAGGAAAATAGTTGCTGGTGAAGTGTCAATTCTAAGGGTCATTCTAAGGAAAAGTTAACATACTTTGGGAAACAAATGGGGCTTTAAAGGAGGCGCATGTCCTCTTTTCTATCACCCTGTTGATGGAACTGAAACATATGACATTCACAGTAATTCACTTAGATTCATGATTCAAAAACTCCATGTAGAAAAGTTTCTTAGTAATTAACATGTAGTGAAAATAGGTACCTGCCCTTTTTTTTTGAATATTTTTCTAGAATGATTTAAGAAATTTCATATAACTGAAATCACCTGGACACAAATCTTAATAGTTAACTGTTACTTATAACTTCAGTGCAAGAGAAAAGAACATACCAACATCTAATTTATAATTTCAGAAAATTCAATTCTACCAATATTCTGTTACGATACTTTGCACCAAAATGTATCTATATGCCTCATTTTTTATCTGATCATTTTGTCTCAATATTTACATTTCACAATCTAAGTCAATTAAGTAATTTGTTTTATCTAAATTGTTTATAGGGGGGCCTCCCTGGTGGCCTATGGGTTAAGTCTCAAACACTACCATAACAACGACCTGAGTTCCATCCCAGGTCAGGGAACTAATTTACATATGGTGCAGCAGACATCTCCTGTTTCTCCCATTGCTTCCCTTAGCAATATACTTCAAGATCACCTGTTCTGCTCCCCAGTCTGTCTCTGGTGAATCCTCTCACACCCCCCCCCCAACCTCTGGCCTACACCTCAGTTCTTCTACACAAAAAAATAAATAAAAATCTTTAAAAAATTTAAGGGGGAACTTAAGGGGGAAATCATAATCTTTTTAAAACGTAACTTAGTCTCCAATTAATTTAAATTTATAATCATTGAAGCGTATACTAATTTCTAAAGTTGACTGCAAAATAGATTAAAATATTAAATGATTGTGAAATGCTTATTGATACCATCTGCCAAATACCTGTCTACTAATTATAACTTTTAGAGAAAACAAAAATAATTAGTAAAAAGATATATTCAGAATAGAGAGGCATTTGTGTATGAATAGATTATATTCAAAACCTCATCCATTCCTGATTTAGATGGTAAAATTTGGGATTTCTGAACTAAGATTTAGAAAAGAATTTTTCAATTATTTTTCAAGTTTTCAACCTGGAGTTGATAATGCAATGAATTGAGACCTTTGCGATATTGGGATAGAGTTAATATATTTTGCATGTAGACTAACATGAATCTTTGAGGAGCAGAGGGCTGTAGTAGGCAGATGCTTATGTCCTAATCCCTACAAACTGTGAATGTGTTAGTTTATATGCAAAGGAGAATTAAGGTACAGATGGACTCAGGATTGACTAGGAAAGGAAGATTTTTAACCCAATCATACCCATTTTGAATTTATGACCTCCAAAACTATAACATAACAAATTTGTGGTTTTTTTCTGAAGTACAGGCCAGAGGTGTGGGAGGTAAGAGGATTCACCAGAGACAGAGCAGGGAACAGAACAGTCAGATTGACTGAAATACACTGCTGAGGGGAGCAGTAGGTGAGATGGGAGAGGTCTGCTGCACCATGTGGGTAACTCCCTGGCCAGGGATTGAACTCATGCTCCAGAGGCTGCAGACAGTTTCACAGCACTGCACTCAACCCCTTGAGCCACCAGGGAGGCCCCAAATTTGTGCTTTTTTTAAGCCAATAAGTTTGTAGTAATTTCCAAAATAGCTTTAGGAAACTAGTATAGTCACTCTTGGTGGAGCCAGAAAAGAAAGAAGCAATAAATCTGGTGTCATGTAAACCCATATGCTCATAGCTCTCAATTACCCCCATGGGTGAAGAATGGGGAAAAAATTACATACTTTTTAATTATAACAAAGATATAACTTACACGTATATGAAGCTCTTCATTGATGGATTCTTTTTTATTGGTCTTTTTAACATCCAGATACCTGACCAGAGGGCCAATTGTGATTCCCTAGATCATAAAGAACAAAATAAAAGGGTTTTGTTGGGATGAAGACTGTCATCATAGAAAGCAAATCTATTATTAAAAGTATTAGAACTTTTCACTTTTAAAAAATAAAAAATTAATTAAGTAACTTTAATTGAGGTAATTAGGCTACCCCTATCAGGTGTTGCCACCACATACCATCCAGCACCAGATCACCCATAGTACTCCACTGTAGTCCACTGTGCTGCTATGCTTACTTCTATGTGCTTAGTTTTTAGTTCTGATATGCTTAGTTCTGGTGACTGATGGTCACCAGTCATCTTTCAAAGATTAAGTTTTTGAACTTTTCAGTTTCATCTCCTCATGTTGTACTAATCTCCACTGAAAAATGTTGCAGTGTTTACTTTAGTCCTTATTTAATTCTTTTAAATTCTGCAATGAAAACCAGCATTCATTATGTTTAAATTTTAAAACCTGATTTAGTTTCATCTTTTAAAATAACCTCTTATTAGTTTACCAAGAGATAACTTCAGCAAAGGTAAAAACTTGTACTATCTAGCTCTAATTGGAATCTCATGCTTAACAATATAAAATAGATATCATTCACCTGTTACCCAGGAATAATTTTTTTCTTAATGTTTTATTGATTAATCTTTTTTTTAAAAAAGATTTATTTATTGGGCCTCCCCAGTGGCGCAGCAGTTGAGCGCTGGGTTGCAAAGCTGCCCGCAGCCTCTGCAGTGCTGGTTCAATCCCCGGCACTGGGTACAGTCAGAAGCGCGGGAGGGTGAGAGAATTCACCAGAGCCAGAGCGGGGAGCAGAGCAGGCAGAAGGACCGAAGTACACTGCTGAGGGGAGCAGCGGGCGGCAGGAGAGGTCTGATCGCTGTGTGGGACCCTCGCCAGGTGGCCAGGGATCAAATGGGCGCTGCAGAGGCTGCGGGCAGCTTCGCAACCCAGCGCTCAACCGCTGCGCCACCGGGGAGGCCTATTTTAGAATTTAAAAATTAAAGTGATGTAGAAATATTTGGGAATTTAGTATGGGTATAAAGCACAATTGAAAATCAAATTGTTCTCCCTTTTAGGTACTATACCAATTTATACATAATCCTGAAATAATCTACTGAATTTGAATGTGAAAGAAATTTACCAACCTGAATAAATACAGTAAAATATATAACGACTAGAGTAGCAGTGACAAACATTTTCTTCCTAGGAAAAAGAGACAGAGGAAGCAAAAATGCAAGTGAAAAACTTCCAGCTCCTCGAACACCACTGTAGAAAATTATGCACTGGTCCTTGATGGAGAAGGGGAAAGTCCGGAACTGGTTACTGACATAGAAGAGAGTAAATACACCTAGAAGGTGGAAAATATGAGAAGCAGGTCATGAATGAATAAAGATATAGCACTAGTAAACCCAAATCGTGTGTATGTGCCTTCAAGGAAGGCAACTGATTTCATCACACACCCTTGATTATCCATCCCAAACAGAGTATCTTAGAGCTTTACTTTTTTACTAGTTGTGAAACTAGTAGTGTTTCAAGTTGAAGTTTTCTCTGGTAGTGCTCACGCTCTCTCTCCGTATGTATGTGTGTGTGTTTAAAGTAATAAAAATTGATACTTTTTGATATAAGAAATAGCATATGTGTTCTCCTTATTCTTAATTTGTCTCTTTCTGTTGTCTTTGTCTTTTTTCTTTCAAAACTAAGTAAAGGACAAGTATTACTTGGGGGCAAAAAACCCTTTTTATTAGCTCATTCTCACTAAGTACACAAAGGAGGTGTGTAATTTTAAAGATGTAATGAGTCATCTCAGTGACTGTGGTCCCTGCAGGGTGAGCAAATCTTATGTGGCTGGTTTGGTTGTTCTGCAGCTTCAATGCAAACAAGAAAGGAAAATTGGCAAGGACTCAATGGAAGAATCTTGCTGTCAGTAAATGGAGGGTGGAGAGTAAAGACTAAGACAGCTTGGTGTTTTCTACTTGGTACTTCTATCCCCAAGTGGCCCACATGTCCAATCTAACACTAATGCTGTGATTTTTGGTGGGAAAAGTCCTTTCAATTAAGTTCTGATTAATTAAAGAAGATATTTCACTGCAGAATTATAGAGCTCTCAGTATTGTGAGACTTCTAATCACAGAGACTTCACAGTAAGTGCCCTTTGGATAATAAGTGCATTGATAGCACAGGAGACAATAACATTTAAAACTTTCATCTTGTGTGGTTTGTTTTGGCTCCTCCACATACTTGTGCAGGTTCTTCATCTTATCACATACTTAGTTTCTTCACCTGCTTAATGGATACTATTTAATTCAGGGGGTGAATGCAGGGTTTAAATAGATGTAATACCTATCAGTAACATAAAGCAAGAAATTATATGTTCTAAGCCTTCATGAATTGGAACTTTACTACCTACAATGAGTCAGGCTGGGAAGAGAACAGGCTGAGAGTGGGAGAACAGGATTCTACACCTGCTCTATCACTCACTGTGATGTGAGCAAGCCAACCATGCTCTTGGTTACTATTCCATCAGTACCCTAAATATAAAATGAAGGAATAGGGCTGGATGGCCACCAAAGGTCAACAATATAGATGCATTCACAATATTAATCCTCTCCTAGATGGTGCCTATCCTTAAGTTTTACTTCTCTTGACATTTGCTCTACTCTGCTGTCAATAGCTACTATTTTAGAACTGAAAGAGACCTAAGAAATCTATTGAAAGTCATCATTTTGTGATTGAGGATAAAGATTTGCAGTAGTTAAATGTCTTTGCTAGTCAAATAGCTAATCAGTACCAGAATTCAATGTGAGTTTATAAAGTTATGTCACAGTTTCCTTAATTCTTTTCTCCCCTGTGTACCAAACAGGTACATGCATTCAGAATTAGTCTTACGCATATTTTAATATTGCTGCATTCTTTTTATTCTTTCATAAATCCTAAAACCCACCCTAACTTAATTTAGAATTGATACATTCAAAATAGTTCTAATATCTCTTTGGGCAATTGACTTGAAAATATTGATCAAAGTCATTTATAAAAACTTCAAATATTGATCAAAATCATTTACAAATATTGTTTCTAATAAAAAATATTGTAGTTCAGTAATTAATGTTTATAGCTTCATAAACAAATATCTAAGATAAATTAGCAATCAAGGCTCCTTTTTTAAAAATTAGGCATCTTTCACAGTAGTGATGCGAACCACATTAAATAATGTCACTTTACTAATTAATACTAACCAGTTTTAAAATGATTGATTTTCAGGTCTTTGGTTTTCTATACATACATCACACTCACCCTTCAACTAACCACCTGTACTATTTAGGGGAATGTTTTCTAACAGTAATTACCTAACACAGAATACATTTGTGAGATCTCACTTTTCCTGTAACAAAAGTGTAAATGCCCACAGCTTATAACCTATATCTGATTTAAGGTGCAAGATGATACAAATTGGCAAAGAAGTGAAGAGCAAGGGATAAATTTACTGAGTTATATTTAAATGTGTATATGTGAAAGTTCTTTTCAATTAAAAAAAAATACTCCAGCCATGCTTCAGTACAGAACCTTATCAGTCAGTAGTTACTTTGAACTGATTGAAGGAGCAGACAGAAAACACTCCTAGTCACCCCAAGGTGCCTATACTCCCCTAACCAGTAAAACCAGTTATCATAATCTATTATTTCTACTTTTCATGGCAGGAAGGAGTAAAAACATATTTTTGAAAATGACAGGCAGGGCACTCCTGGCCCCTGCTATCTCTTACTGATGGCTCTCCAGATCTGGCAGAAGATCAGCGTGAAGCAGATGAAGGCCCAGTTCCACTCATGGTTCTTCCCAACAGTGGACACACCCATGAAGATGAAGATCAGGGTCTCACTGACACTGCTCAGCATCTTCATGAAGTACTTGATGGTTGTGTAAGATGTCTGGGACACGTTTTCTTCTACATACTTTTTCATTGTCACCGCACAGGCAGTGATTCTGTAAAAGGAGCAGTGTCTCAGAGAGAAGCCACAAAAGGTTGCCCCTCCAGGAAAAGTTCTCTCTATTGGTGATGCCACAGATACACAGGTCCTGGATTTATCCAGAAATAACAATCTCTCTAGCTGCACATTTCCAACAGGATTTTTTTCTTCTCCTCTTCTTTAAGGGGCTTGCACAAGTTGAATGCAGAGGGGAAGTGACAGTGAATGGTTTCTCAAAACAAAATATGATGCAATCCCTATACAAATCCCATGCAGAACTGTTTCCATTTAGCTTTCCCTCATCCAGAGCAGTGTCAGCCACATCTCTACCCTCTGCTTCACTGTGTCTTAAACCAAAATAAATCTAGTGCAGCTAAATAGAATAATTTAGCAAGGCTCCCCTAAATGAGAAGCATTTCTTACAAATTATTCACTGGTGGAGTCCAGGTAGATGACAGTAGACTGAAGACACAGGATTGCCTCCTTAAGACACACACACACACACACACACACACACACAGCCAAAATAGGAGCCAAAACCCCTGAGGGAAAAATAGATTATCAGTATACACAATAGGCGCATAAACCTGAATAAAAGGGTAGGAAAATAAATTTGCTGAAAGTAATTACAAGGCAGTAAAACCCACAAGAAAGAGTGGCTGAAGTGCACTGTGCCCTACTGCTATTGACTCATGCACACACCAACACTGGGGCTCCTACGACCATGAACTACACTGGATAAGGAGTGCATGAGCAGGTACCCAGGAGAGAGGGTGCTTGTGGGAGAGCCACAGAGGTGAGGGCACAGAACAAGGATTACTGATTGGCGTCTGAGACTTATAATGCAGAGAAGCCATAGTCCAAATCAGGTCAGAGCACCTCTGGACTTGCTTCCAGAAAAGACTACGACTGAGGCCCTGGCTAAGATATCTAAAACACAAAGAAACACTTTTCAACAGGAATTTCAAATTCCTGAGCCTACTAGAGGTGACCCTTTGATGCCTATCGCCCTGTCCTCTTTTAAACCTGCTACCCCTCCCTGTACCAGTCACCTGACTATTCCAACAAGTACAAAAACAACAGTTAAAAATTTACCCTTACTGACAAACACACAAAATTGAAAATGAGGAGACAGAAGAACATGGTACAAATGCCAGAACATAAAATCCCTGGGAGGGGCCCTGACTCAGAGGAGCAGCAGGGCTTGACAGAGGGGGCTCAGGACAAGAGTCCTGGCAGTGCTGATGGAGCAGAAAGAAAATAATGGTGGACAGAGGCAACCACAGAATAAAGATAATGAAAATATGACGCAGCTGCATTCAGAATGATGGCGTTAGGAAACACTCTAGCTGAGTTTGAAAATACAATTGAGGACCAAAATAGTAGAAAAACAGAAACAATGGAGAGAATTAATGAACTTGAAAGCACACTACGGGAGAACACAAGAATAGAATGAGATAGTAAAAAACAAATATAAAATATAAAAACAGTGTAAGAGCACTCTGGGACAACTGAAAGAGAAATAACATCTGTGTTATGGGGATCCCAGAAGAGGAAAAAAAAGAGAAAGGCATAGAAACCTATTTAAAGAAATAATCACTGAAAACAATTTCACTCTGGAAATGAACCAGAAGTTGTGATTCAAGATGCCCAAAGAGCTCCAAACAAAATAATACCAGATATTATACATCCACACATATAATAATAAGCTGCCAATAACCCACCATAAGGACAGAATTCTAAAAATTTCAAGGACAAAAGGGTAACCTGTAAGGGAATACCAAGGACACTATCAGCAGATTTTTCAAGAGAAGCATTACAAACATGAGGGGACCAGAAAGAGAAATTCTGGTCCCCAGCCCAGAAACTTCTCAGCAAGATTATCAGTCCAGATAGAGGAAGAGAAAGGAACATCATTAAAAATTTAAAACTAGGGACCTCCCCCATGGCGCAGCGAGTTGAGCGCCACGCTGTGAAGCTGTCCTCACCCTCTGCAGTGCCGGTTCGATCCCCGCAGGCTGGCGAGGGTCCCACATGGCGCGGCAGACCTCTCCTGTCGTGCCCTCTGCCCCCCTCAGCAGTGTATTTCCGTCTTCTGCCTGTTCTGTCTTCTGCCTGCTCTCTCTCTGGTGAATCCTCTCAACCTCCCGCGCCTCTGGCCTATACCCCAGCTTTTGTATAAAAATAAATATTTTTTAAAAAGGTATTAAAAAAATAAATAAAAAACTAAAAGAATGTATTGACACCAAGCTGCATATGAAAGAAATGCTAAATGCTAAATGGATAACTATAAAGCAATAGAAAAATGAATAGCAAATCAAAAGGCACCTAAATTACTTAACTTGAAGGAGGGAAAAGACAGTAACAATATGGCCCATTAGAACAAGCCAGAGACCTGACCTTCCAATGGATCACACAGTTGATCATATACTGGCCTCAGTAAAACCCTCAAACAAAAAGTAATAGAAGTAACACATAAGACAATGGAAATAGAACCTAAAAACATAATAGGAAGCCCTCAGAAAAAAATTAAAAATTATCAAACCAACAAAAAACAAAAATATAACAAAAGGACTATAAACACATATCTCAATAATCACCTTAAATATAAATGACTTGAACTCACCAGTCAAAAGACAGAGTGACTGAATGGATAACAAAAATCCCAACCATCTGCTATTTACAAAAAACTCACCTTACCTACAAAGACAAGCAAATACTTAAAGGTTGGAAGACAGACAAGAAAATGGCAACCCTTCCAAAAAAAAAAAAAAAGCAATTAGGAATAGTGATACCTTTATTTGCTAAAAATAGGCTTTCAATTAAAAGGTAAAAAGACATAGAAAGGCATTATATTATAAACAATAGCCTAATTCAACAAGAAGAAATAACACACTGCACTGAATGATGGAACACCAAGATACATAAGACAATAACAGAACTTAAGAGATTTTGACTAGAACACAATAATGGCAGGGATCTGGCTTTATCTACCCCACTCACAACAATGTACAGATCAGCAAGACAAAGTGTCAATAAGGAGACAACAGCTCTAAGGAAGGAACTAGGCCAAATAGGTGTAACAGTCATCTACAAAACACTTAAACTTCAAACTGCTGCCCTCACCTTTTTTTTTCAACTGCACAGGGTACATCTTCAGGAATAGACCATATCTTGGGATGGAAGTCAACTGTGTATAAAACCAGAAAGATTGAAAATATACCTAGCACCTGACCACAATGCCATAAAACTAGAAATCAACTACAAAAAAAGCAAAAGACAAAAAAGGGAAAAACTATGAAGGTTAAATAAACAGCATGTTGTTTAATAGCAATTGAATGAAAAAGGAAATCAAAGCAGAAATTAAAATTAGATATCATGGAATATTTCATAGCCATGAGACAGGACGAAATGCAGCCATTTTCAACAAATGGAGCAAATTTGAAAAACTTGTATGCAGAAAAACAAGTCAGAATGATTAAAACACAGATTGGACATTCATATGTCCAATGATTACATAAAGCATTTTCAAAAATTACTGGGCATCAACAAACATCCTGGGGGCTCTGAGGTTAAAGGTAGGGAAGAAAAGGGACAGGTGACACAGGGATGGTGGTGGGACAAAGAAAAGGAAAGAATTTTTATTTATTTATTTATGCATATAAGAATGTGGTATAGGCCAGATGTGCGGGAGGATGAAAGTATTCACCAGAGACAGAGTGGGCAACAGAACAGGCAGACTGACTGAAACACACTGCTGAGGGGAGCAGTGGGCAAGAAAGGAAAGGTCTGCCACGCCATGTGGGTAGCTCCCTGGGATCGAGTCCACGCTGCAGAGGCTGCGGACAGCTTCATGATGTTGCGCTCAACTGCCTGCGCCACCAGGGAGGTCCAGGAAGGAAATTTTTTAAAATAATATAATTAGTATAAAAGTGAGCAAATGTGAAGATTCTATCCTGTGATTTGAGTACTTCAAAGTAACTAACAGTACAGCCTTGTAAAACAAGAGAAAAGACAATTTTTCCTTTAGAATGCTTCAGTTCTAGAGCCACTTAAGAAGTTTGGGGCAAAATAATTTTTGCTTTACCGTAGTACTTTTACCCTCTTTCGGGGTAGGAAAATGATGAGTGCCTAGATTATTTTTTATTTAATTGAAGTGGATATTTCAATATAATAAAATTAAATATTTGTTTTAGTTAGATTTGAGACTGTCATAGAGAAAACAATATGATCAAACATAATAAGCCAAGTTGATATTACTCATTCCAAGATTTACATAAAGATGCACACTTTAAAACTATCTTTATTAGGGAAAAGAAATCTGAATTGTTAGTCTTACCCATCTACCTAGTTTCATTCCACACTGAAGAATACTGGAGAGGTGATGTGGCTTGAGGGAAATACCAAAGTAAAGGACACAGAAATGACATCCCCTCGTTACATGCTACCCTTGCTGCAAGGTTAACTTTAAAGTAATTGGCTTTTCAGGCAAAAAGTAATGACTGAAATGGGATTTCAACCTTGAACTTCTCCCAGCTCATCTTTGCATCAGCTTTTCTGAGGATTCTAAATTGACCTTAAAATTGCTCTGTTCTTCTCAGGCAAATCACCAGAAGAGAACACACACAAAGGCCCAGAAGAGCATTTGTTTGGCACAGCACCTGAATTAGATTTTGCAGAAGTTTTAAGAACCTAACTCCTTCAACAACTTTGAAGATTAGCATCAGAATGCCAGTCTTCCCAGGTGCTAGCTCACAAGGTGTGAGCCTAACTTTGCTTTTATTGCTATGAGAGTTGGGTTCTGGTTTGTACTCACGCCAAGATGCCAGAGAGATAGAGTGTCTCCGCAACTAAGTAAGACAAATAGCTGAACATGAAGACGATGAGGGGTTCAATTGCAGAGATATTCTGAGTGAAACGTGTGATAAATGCAGAAATGAATCCAAAAATGATGCCAAAAAGTACTCCACCGACTCCCACAATAATGAATCGGGCACATCCAGCCAAAATGTCGACAGGTTCTATGTCTTCGAATTTATGCATCTTTGTGAAGGCAATCAATATGTTGTATAAGACCTAGACAAAGAAAAGATGGTAAAAGAAAATTAACATGAATTAGAAATGAGAAGCATTTACACATAGATTCTTAGCTTTGTGTCCTGCTTTGCATACCTCTGTGGACACTAGGGGAGGGATTTTCTCTGCTTTTTGTTGGTTTCTGGTGGTTGTTGGCAGTCCTTAGCCAAGGATATGTCACTCCACGTTCTGCCACTGTCTTCATGCCACCCTCCCTGTGTGTGTCGTGTGTCTCTGCAGTGTTCTCACCACATTTCCTTCTTATAAGGACACCCATGTTGGACCTGGGGTTCATCTTAATTCAGGTTGAGCTTAATTTGACTAAATGTATCTGCAAACAACTATTTCAAATAAAATCACATCCAAAGGTTCAGATGGATATAATTGGGGAGGTGGGGAGGTTGACACTATACAGTCTAGTAAAGCTTCGAGAACTAAAGTAATTTCACAGTGAAATTAATTTGGGCTATAGACTAGCAAATTTTAGTGGTACATTTCAGGGTACAAATGATTTCATTTTGAATTTCAAAAGGTGCTTATTTATGACTTGTCCTCCCAATGGATCACATGTTTCATTAAAAAGCCTAGGAATATAAATATGGGCCTCCCTGGTGGCGCAGCGGTAGAGCGCCGGGTTGCGAAGCTGTCCACAGCCTCTGCAGTGCCGGTTCGATCCCTGGTTGCTCCCCGGCTACCAAAGGAGGGTCCCACATGGCGCACAGATCTCTCCTGCCGCTCGCTGCTCCCCTCAGCAGTGTACTTTGGTCCTTCTGCCTGCTCTGCTCCCCGCTCTGGCTCTGGTGAATTCTCTCACCCTCCCGCGATTCTGACTGTACCCAGTGCTTGTCTAAATAAAAAAAAAAAAAAAAAAAAAGCCTAGGAATATAAATCTCTTGTATAGCCAAAGCATCTGGGTATGTGATATATGACCAACTGGAAAATATCTATCTGCTTGTGTATTAACCATATATTACAAAACTCTTATACTACTGGTCTATTTTATTTACAAACAGGAAGCCAAAGTTCAAGAAAGCTTTGGCTGCATTTGAAAGAAAATTGTGACTTACGATCTCAAAATGAATCCAAAAGAATCTTAGAGGCTGTATCCTGTTTCAGTGAGTTTAATTCAATTTCACCATTTGTCTAACCTAGAGCAACTCACTTATTTGTTTTAAAAGCCCTGGGGTTTTCACCTCTGGAGTTCTACTCACATTCCAAGGGAGTGAAGCCAATTCACAAGATCCAGAAAAAGCAGATTTGAATGAGTGCAAATGGGATCTGAGTGTTTGACTCTCAAATCAGAGGAAGCTCATAGGAAATGATTGGAACTCAAGGATTTGCATGTTGTTACCACAGATGAAAATTATTTTGCACTGCTCTCCAAATTACAAGTAGCTCCCTCCCTAGTCTGTCCCAAGAGCCTGGGAAAGTCAATCAGATCAGCCTGTCCCTTGACACCAGTATGCCTTGCCAAGAAGATGCCAAGGCAGTTTAGAAGCTAAAGTGATACATATAATTAAGAAGACTACATTTACAGGTGCAATTCATGTAACAACATGTAAAAATAACTCATATATTTGAAATTGCCAAGCTCTGAATGTCATTATATTCTAAAGGATTTTGTTCAATTTCAAATCACAATGTATTGTTTACATATTGGAGGGGAAATATCAGCCAATGCTAAATCTCAAACATGACCATAGCACTAATAGAGAACAAGGTTAGATTTACCGCCTTCATTCAGTGTAGAAGTGTGATACAGTCATATAACAAGAAATACATATATTTATCTTTGTCCCCATTACCCGACATTGCATTCTTAAACATTGTGATTTCCTGAGTGATAAGGGTGAAAGGAGTGTCTTTGTTATTTATATTGAGCATTTTTCAATTATCCCTGACATTTTTGCTAATGGGATGCTTCTTGTGGACCTCAAGAAGCTTCAGGTTGGAGTCCTGCTGCCAGAGGAATCAACCATCTTTTTAGAGGATTATAACTTTCAGCCCTATCCTGACCTCCAAAGAGAGAAAGGCTGGAGGTTTAGTTCCATAACCGATGTCCAATAACTTAATCAATTGCACCTATGTAATAGAACCAACATAAGGACTCTAAAAGATACGGTTCAGATGATTTTCAGGTTGGTGCTAGGAGGGTGGTGTACCTGGAGGGGACATAGGAGTTCCGTACCCCTAATCCCACACCTTGCTGTATGCTTCTTCATTTGACTGTTCCTGAGTTACATCCCTTACATTAAACCAAAATGCACAAGAAGACTGTTTTCCTGAGCATTGTGATTTATTCTATCAAATTACCTAGCCTGAGGAAAGGGAACCCCTAACTTTCTGTCAGAAGTATGGGTGACCCAGACTTGTGATTGGTGGCTAAATTGGGGGCAGTCTTGTGAGAGTCCATGGAGTCTTCTTATTCTGCATAGTTCATGTCAGCACTGAAATAAATTGTGGGACATTCAGTTGGCATCCAAGGAGTGGGAGAATTGGCTGGTGTGGGGAAGAACAGGTACCATTTGGTGTCAAAAGGATTATATTATGGACTTCTGGGACTCCTCAGGAGTCAGAGAGTGGGACTGAAAGTTTCAAGTCTCTAATCACATGGTTACTTTCTCTGGCAACCAGCCCCCATCCTTGTTACCTAAGAGTTTTCCAAAATTCTCCTCCTTACAAAACAAGAGACACCTTTATGGTTCTCATTGCTTAGAAATTCCAAAGTTTTGGAGGTTCTGTGCAGGAACAAGATGAAGACCAAATAGATATTTCTTATTCTAAATCACAATATCACAGACACCAAACACTTAGACTAGGCTCACTCTGTGTCAGGCACTATTTTAAAATGCTTTATGTGTATCAACTCACTTTATCCCTCATGAAATCTGATCTCTATTTTACAGAAAGGAAATTGAAGCCAGGAGGGGTTTCTAACTCATTTAAAGTCAACAAGCTTGCAAGAAAGTGAACCAGGACTTGAACTAAGGTATATGGCCTTACTGTTCATGCTCTTGGCCACAACTTACTGCCTCTTGAATAGGACTTTACTATAGCCAGGACCCCTTTGAGGTAAGAAAATATAAACCAGGATGTCCTTGTTCAGTTTATTTTAACTTACTCTGTCTTATGTTCTTTATCTTTGGAATGTAGCTATAACTCATGACTGCAGTAAACTCTAAGGTTTTGATAAAACAAGAAATGTAGAATAACCCCTTCCAGGGTGAGTAGAGACTCTGTACAGGATACTTATTCCATGGAGCATTTCTTCCTGCTCTGATTTTGTCCATGAGGGTCTAAGGATGCTAGTTATCTTTTTAAAGCTATGTGGGTTTGGTGTCTGCTACTTTTTCCTATTATTATGAGCATATCCTAGTGATTAGAATCATAAACTAAAATATGCAGCAAGAAGTGAGTGGGACAAGGGCCCAGGAGACTCAGATTCATTGATATTTCCACAGTTCTGGAGCAGCCCCTTCCCTTTAGCGAGAAGGCAGCTCTTTAGTGGATAAAGATCAGCAGAGTTGTCACATCTAACCCACAAATCACAGGTCACTCTCTAGATGACTCAAGCTTTCTGTTGAAAACGCATGTTTGTGACTGCCACCCGCGGAAGGTTCCTTCCTCAATGAAAGGGTGAGTTCAAGCCCTTAGCTCAAAATACAACTGGACACATAAAATACTAGTTGCTTTCAAACAGCTTTCTAAATCTGGCCCTGAAGCATCTCTGGTTTCACATGAGGACACAGAGATGCTCAGTACACACTTAATACTCACTATACCGCAGGTGACCACAGACTGACCTGGGAGTAACGTGTGGGCAACCCCTCTGGAGCCACTGCTAGAGAGACTTGGCCTGTTGGAGGTCACAACTGCCCTCAGCAGATGCTCTGGTCACTCAAAAATTATACTTTTATTTTGAAATTATCATTAAAAAAAAGTCCAAGTGGAAGCAATTAAACTTTGGGAAAGTCAAACAAAAGTTGCTTGCAAAGAAACCCCAACCAGAAGCCAAGTTGCAATTGGCTCTAGATCTAAAATCCAGAGAAAACTCAAGTGAAGTCAGATTTTCAAATGCAGAAGAATATTTCTTGGCAAGAATTTTTATAGATTATATCATGGAAATCCCGAAGAAGAAATAGTGCATTTTGTGGACATGAAAGAGGTGGCATGTAGACAGTTGTTTCAAGAGATTTCTAATAATTATAAAGGAATAACTGAATAATTACCTCAGATGGGCTGCATGAGGTGGTCCTGATTTTGTCATAGATAAGCTCTCTCAATGGCATTGTCAGCAGTGGGGTTACTACTATAACCCCAAAGAGCTTGCATATAAGTGAAATAAGATGGTCTTTGAGAGGTGGACTGTGAAATGAAAGTGTTATTGTTCAGAGGTGCTGACTTAACAAAACCCAAAGCATGAAAGTGTTTAAAGAAAATGGGTGGGAGTCACTCTGTCTCTAGTGAATCCTCTCACCCCTTCCCCCACACACACCTCTGGCCTACACCCCAGCTCTTGTATACACAAATAAATAAATCTTTTTAAAAAAAGAAAAGAAAGAATGAATGAATGGGTGGGAGAAAGGGGTGGGGGGGCAGGTTTCAGAAACTAATCTAGCTAGTCTGAGGAGGTGTGCAGTCCTTTTTCATCATTTTATTAATAATGAAACTGAACAATGGGATGGGTTAGACATGAACATTCCATGACTCCGAGACAAACACAGCTCAGAGCCTTCATAACATGTGTTGATCTAGCCTGTAAGTTTTCCACAGCTTCTCTCCTAATAAAAGTGTTTCTTTCACATTTTCCATCTGAATAAAGATTTGAGACTAGTCTACAAGTTAACACATTTATACAAATCCTCTGTCATCTACCCCATCTTTTATTTAGCTTTATTATTTAATGCAGCACGTTTATGTGTGTGTGTGTGCATAAAATACATATAATCATGTAAGGGAATGAGGATGAGGTCTAGTGAATGAAATAAAAACATAAGCTATTGCTTGTCCTAGGTGAAAACCCCGAAGAGCTTTTAGCAACAGATTCTTCTCAGTGAATTCAGAGAAACTGAATTTAACTAAAGAATTCTATTTTCTCACTCCTTTTTCTCTCTTTGAGGAAGCAAGTTGTTTAGTGAATGACAAGCAGCATTAGTGAGCAATTATGAACATGATGCAGATCACAGGGGAAGTCACCAGAATTTGGACCACACTCATTGACCAAAGCCTGTCTCTGTTCTGCTACTGCCCGGTCATGCTCAGCCTCTCCATTAGCCCTGAGGTCAGACTCCATCCCTGGGGCCACCCTTCATCTCCCTGAGGATCTCACCACACTAATGCCATCATTGAGCAGGGCCTCCCCGAAGATCATCATGTAGAGCTGTTCATTCACACGGGCCTCCTCAAACACAGCCAACACAGCCACCGGGTCCACAGCTGAAATTAAGCTGCCAAACAGCAGATTCTGAAGCAGGTTGACATCGGTGAGGCCAAAGGCCTTGATCTGGCAGATGAGAAACAGGGAGAGCCCAATGCCAAAGGCATTAATCAGGGCCCCCAGGCCTGCCCACCACAGGATGGAGCCGATGTTCTCAAAGAAGGGCCTGGTGGGCATGAAGTAACCACCCTCCAGAACAATGGGTGGAAGGAGGTACAGGAAATAGATGCTCGAATCCATGACGGGAGGTGATTTGTGGTCAGTACCAAAGATGATTGCCCCCACTAGGGCTCCAACAATGATGAGGAGGCAGCTTTCTGGCATAAGGCCTGGTAGTCTGTGGTAAAGATGGAAGCCTGAGGAAAAGTGGAAAATCGCATTTAGGGGTTAGCAAATAAAGTAGTTTGAGTCGCTAATATAGCAAGAGATAGGTGCACCTAAGTTCTCTTGAAGCCAAGTATATGGGGCCTTAGGTGGGCTAACTGGCATCCCTGAGTCTGAGTACCCCATCTGAGCAGGAAAGGCCATGTTGAGGTAGACTACTCAATGTGCCAGCCCAGTGCAGCTTACAGGGTCATTTTAAGTCAAATGTCCACTTCCTACTCCTTCTTGCTGTCCCATCTGAGAGGCGAGAAGGCAGAACTCTTCCATTCTTGTGCAAAATCCACCTTTAAAGCCCGTATCGAGTCAATCACTGTCAGCTAAATCTCAGCTATTACCAACTTACCTTCCCTCATTTCCCTCTCCACCAAACAAATAAATTAACTTATTAAGTTAATAGTAAATTAAAATTTTGTTTTCTTTCTTTATTTTGTTTTCTTTATTTAACCAATTACATTGCCACTGGTCTGCCACTAAAGAAGTCAGACTTTCATGAACCTGCTCCTCTATCACCTTTGCCACTTCATGCATTTAGCGCTTTTTCATCAGTTAAGATTTTCTTTGGTTGTCCCTAAATTTGGCCCTCTTCTCTACATATCTATCACTACTGCTTTTACTTAAAGTCTCCCCTTTGCCTTAATCATAGCATGGTTTTTCTGATCTCTGCCCCCTTCCCCACTTTTCACATCCTGCTGCCAGATGATTTTTCTACACCTTGTGTTTCTAATTGTCTCATTTCCCACCAAAGCATCGCATGGATTTTAAGCAGAGGATATTTTTTAAGCATCTTTGCGTCAAATCCACCCCACTGGTAAGTACTGTGAGGTGGAGTACCAATCATGTTTACCACGATTGCAATTGCTAACAAAATGTTAGGAACAAGACATGAACAAATAAGAATAGGGCCTCCCCGGTGGCGCAGCGGTTGAGCACTGGGTTGCGAAACTGCCCGCGGCCTCTGAGGCACCGGTTCCATCCCCGGCTGCTCCCCGGCCACTGGAGGAGGGTCCCACATGGCGCGCAGACCTCTCCTGCCGCCCGCTGCTCCCCTCAGCAGTGTACTTCGGTCCTTCTGCCTGTTCTGCTCCCTGCTCTGGCTCTGGTGAATTCTCTCGCCCTCCCGCGCTTCTGACTGTACCCAGTGCATGTATAAAACGAAAACAAACAAACAAACAAATAAATAAATAAAAAAACATGCCTCTATTTAAAAAATAAAAAAAAACCAAATAAGAATAATATAATATATGTGAATGAAGTGAATATTAACTATACCAAAGTAAAATAAGATCAGAGTACATGGGGCCATGCTAGGTCTCTCTACAAGTTAATAGCCCCTACACCTGCACTCTTCTTTATATATCCTTCTCTGGCACCAAGCTGTGTGGCTCCTTTCTTGTCTCTATACAAGAAAGATATTGCTGCTTGGATAGTCCTTCTCCTCAACTTATTTAGATCCTGCTTAACCCTTGATATGAAGCTTTTCCCAATGTCTTTTCAAGGAATTACCATATCTTCTCTGAATTGTTATAACATTTTTTTCTGTACTTGTCTAAGAACAATGATCCCTTTCTATGAGATTTTTGTGCATTTCTTAGCTCATCTACTAATGTCTAATTGTCCCTAACAGAAGCAGAATGATATACATCTTTAGACTTCCCCAAAGTGCTTAGCAAGGTATTTAGTCCATAAATGTTGGTCTACTTGTTGAAAGAATCTGTAAGTGGGTAAATGAATAAAAATGATATTAAATGTCTAAGGCCTCTTCTAGACTCCTGCTCTCTGCATTTCTTTTTTTTTTTTTTTAAGATTTATTTATTGGGGCCTCTATGGTGGCGCAGGTGATTGAGTGCAGCACTGTGAAGCTGTCCGCAGCCTCTGCAGTGGCGGTTCAATCCCCACCAGTTGCGAAGCAACCCACATGGCGCAGCAGACCTCTCCTGTCTCGCCACTGCTCCCCTCAGCAGTATATTTCGGTCATTCTGGCTCTTCTGTTTCCTCTCGCCCCCCCACACCTCTGGCCGTACCCTAGTACTTGTATGCATAAATCAATAAATCTTCTTTTTTTAAAAAGATTTATTGATTTATGCATACAAGAATTGGGGTACAAGCCAGAGTGTGGTGGCAGGAGGGTATGAGAGGAATCATCAGAGACAGAGTGTGGTACAAAATAGGCAGACTAACTGAAATACACTGCTGAGGGGAGCAGTAGGCAAGACAGAAGTGTTCTGCTCCGCCATGTGGGTCAGCTCCCTGGCCAGCTGGGGATCGAACTTGTGCTGCAGAGGCTTCGGCTAGCTTCACAGTGCTGTGCTGAACCCCTTGCGCCAGCAGGGAAGCCCTCTCTGCACTTCTAATGACAACTTTCTCCTCCCCTTTCTCCCATCCTTCTTCTCTTATTTCTCGAGAGACCTTACTTGAAGCACACTTAACTTTCAATACGTGAAGGAGGTGAAAGAGTCCATAGTGTAATTTTCTCAGCACCTGTATCTCCCCAGTTTGCTTTTGCTTCTAGGAATGAAGTTTCTTGAAATGGATCCAATGTGTACCTGCCTTAAGCTAAACTGTACCCACACAGAAATAGCAGGAAGAAGCTTCATGCCTGTAAGCAGGGCATCATAAAGGAAAATACTACTTGCATTTCACATTTTGCAACATTTCTCTCCTTTCAGGATGAACAATAGGATTAGTCAATTCGAGACTTTACAGTTTCACTGCCTGCAATTTAAATGGTCACAGATAACAAAGTCCTGCCTGAAAGTCGAAGATGCCCCTACAGTTCCAATCCGTGGCTGAAAAAATGTTCTATAACATTCCAAGTGGTCGAAGAGAAATAAAAATAAGCCACAAAATCTGCATTGACTTTGTATCATCTTTGTTCTAAAATATCTTTGTTTTGTAACATGCATTGCTGGGTGTTTTGAAGGATTGGGGATATTGTACACATTAAATATCTTATATATATTTTTTCATCAAAGATACCTCAATAAAGCTGGGGAGGGTTGAAAAAAAATGTCTATCAAGCACTGCTAGATTCACCTGTACTTTGAGATCAGAGGCCATGGTCTTTTCCACATATTGCATGGGCACTCTTAATAAGTATGTCTTGATAAAATAATTGAATAAAAGAAGGATAACCATAGTAATGATTATATTTTTGATTTAAGTTTTATAATATATTATAGGATCTAAAAAAGTTTTATAATATAAACTATTATATATTATACAATTTAATATATTCTATATATATTCTATCTATATATATTCTATCTTAAGAAATCTATAGATTTCTTAAGTGTTAAAGATTTATGTCTTTTTTTTTCTTTTTTCTCCTTTGCTTCAGGGGAATGAGCCACTATGTATAAAACCACAAGCCCAGTACTTGGCATATAGTAGATATTCAATAAATATCATTTTCTTTTCTCATGGACTATAAAAAAAAAAACATCATTCAGACCTCCCTGGTGGTGCAGGGATTAAGTCTCAGTGCTATCAAGCTATCTGCAGCCACTGCAGCATGCGTTGGGTCCCCAGTTAGGGAGGCAACCCACATGGTGCAGCAGACCTCTCCTGTCTCGCCTACTGCTCCCCTCAGCAATGTATTCAGTTAGTCTGACTGTTCTGCTCCCCACTCTGTCTTGGGTGAATCATCTCACCCTCTGCACCTCTGACCTACACCCCAGTTCTTATATGCATAAATAAATAAAAATAAATCTTTAAAAAATTTAATAACTTCATTCTTCAAGACCAACAATTATAAAATTGCATTCAAATAAGCATGATCCAACTGATAGCCTATTTGAATTATTTTCTTTTTCTAAACTGTTAAATTATATCAGTACTACTCAAAAACTGATTTAAGCCAGCAATTCTATAAATAATAGTGTCTTTATAATACTCTAAACATCTAGCTACAGTAAATCTGAGAACATACAATACCTCTAAAGAACAATCTGTTTTATGTTTGTATAGAACCAAGATAAAATGCATCCTTTCTTCATTGAGATGTATACTGACAAGGAATTTTAGCCTCTCACCAAAAAGAGGTCTTAGAAATAATTTCACTGATCAACAAACCAAGCATTAGAAAGAGTAGGACTAGCTAGTCAGTGGCAGGTCCAGTTTTCTGATTCTCAGATTGACTTCATCTGCAATGTGAAGAGGGAAAGTGTGGGTGGGGACAAAAGCTCTAGTATTGCTTACAGAGGAAATTCAAGAATCATATAAGATCATGAAAGTGTTAGACCCCCTGGGGCCTCCCTGGTGCACAGAAGGTGCTGGCCCATATTGTGTAGCAGACTCTCCCTGTCTTGCCTACTGCTCCCCTCAGCAGTGTATTTCAGTCAAATGCCTGTTCTGTTTTCCACTCTGTCTCTGGTGAATCCTCTCACTCCCCCATACCTTTGGCCTGTACCCCAGTTCTTGCATGCATAAATAAATAAATAGTTAAAAAATTAAACACATCTTTAAAAAAAAGGTGTTAGACCCCCTAATTTTGAACAAAGAATGACTTCAGAAAGTCATTTTCACTTGAGCACTTCTTAGAAACAATGTGAAATACTTTTGTGATTTAATTGCTAGGTAAATTGCGCAAGAGTTCTTCAAACTAACAATTACTATTCAATGTTCACATCTTGGTAGCTCAGAATGAATAGAAGTTATGAAGGAGCACCCAATAAATACAGCAGTGTTGCCAATATCCTGGCAGAAAGAATTAGATGGACAGAGACCATGGTCCTGATGCCTAGGAGTTAACTGACAGACCTCATGGCTTAATCCATGTTTCATACCCATCCCAGAGGAGAAATATAAATGAGCATCAAAATGTTTCAAAGATTCTACCTGAACAAGGCAAATTGTCTCCTCAGGTAGCTAAGTTCATAACTGAGGCAAATCAGTTTTGATTTGCCCCTGTGATTAATAATTAGTCACAGAGATAATCATGTCAATTTTCCACTTTAGAATAAGCTGGTTTTCAGGAGATAAGTGGGTGGAGTCAGGGATTAAATGATCACAGAGTATAAAACATCATTTTGTTTTCTGGCACAAAGAACACTTGATAGAATTTAATCTATTAAATTGAATTCCCTTTATTTCATAATGTAAACCAGAGGTACCCCACTGGCTCCATTTGGTTCCAGGGTAAATCAGTATTTTACTGACAGATAACATCTCATCTGCCCCCATAACCCATTGCCGAGTGACATAAGAGTTGCCTGTGGTTGCCATGTTCCTTGCTTTCTGTTAATTTGCAAGAAGCACACGCCACTTTTGAAGAATAAACAATGAGAGCCATTGATGAAACCCACAGTTATATGGCCAAGAGTGAAAGAAGAATAGTTTTCAGAAGAAGCATTATGCAGTTTCTGAAATTTCCAATGGTCCTCACTCCCAGGTCTACTTGCCTTACTCTATATTTTTTAGAGCATAGAACTTGATTTTTACATGCCAAATAATGTCACACGTTTGTCACCGTGTAATGAGAAGTATGCTTTTAAGTCTCAAAGCACAAACCTGAAGCATTAAATGGCTTTACATTAAAAAAAAAAAAAAACAAAAAACTGACTTGTCTTTGACTCCAGGGAACAGAATTTTTTATGTAATAACAGTAGCAATTAAAATTCATTTAGTTTACATATGCAAGGCATTTTTACATACATTTTCTCTTGTGAGAAACAACTCCCACTGCCAAGTGTCTGAGGACTTACCTATTTTTGCAAGAGATGCTAGAAGTATCCAGAGGGTGACCTCATAAGGAATTTGCACGTAGTCATAATCCAGTGCAAAGACAGCTATCTTCCCATCTGGCTCTGAGCTGGCAGCAGCAAGCCGAACATTAAGTTCATGCTGGGCAGTGGAATTTGTGAATTCATTCAAATCAGAAGTCACTTCAGAGCACTCGAGGACCATTAGCAGTAGCAGCCAACTCCAAGGACCGAAAGGTACACACATCTGAAAACCCATGCTATGGGCTTCTCCTCCCCTGTGTGCAGGTGTGTGCCACACACCTGATGTGAGGAGGGTTCCTAGACAGTAGCAGCATCCATCAGGGTCAAAGGTAACATACGTACGGTCTTTGGGTCATTCCCAGAAGAGTCCAAGCTTGGCATTAAGTTCTGAGTGTAGATGTTCTCAAATCATCTGTAAAGGACTCATGTTCAGGCAACTCAGCTTCTGACTCGAACGCAATCATTTAACAGACTTGTGAAAGCCCAGGGAGCTACCTGTGAGCCTTCATCCGATCGGGATTTGAAGAGCTGTTTATTTAGGGCAAAATGTCCCTTTAGTCAGAGTTGTTTTCTCACTTCACTGCACCCTGGTTTCATCTCGTGAGTGAAAATTTCAAAGAACACCATGGTGTTCTTTCCAGATCGCACTGAAGGCCTTCAAACCAGGAAGGGAAGCTTGTCTCTACCAGTAAGGAGTTACCTGCCCTGTACCTGCTCCTTCTCTCCTCCCCCTGCTCCCTCACTTGTTTTGAATGGCCAAGGCTGCAGGTAGATCTTGAGCTACACTTAATTATTTGCTCAGATTTGACTGTTGTAATGAAATGCGTTCCCTGGGTGTTTTCCAGAGGTGACACTGCTGACACCTAGTGGGCAGCTCCAATACCACACCTTGGCATGATCAAAGATCAATAGTTAAGGTGAGCAAACCAGGCACTTTTAAGAGGAAAGACGAAATATCAAGAATCACTCCAGAATATATCATTCCATGACTGTACTTCCCAAAGTCAAAACTTACTATAAAGCTACAGTAAATCAAAATTATATAGGACTCTCCTGTCAAACTGTGTCATATGGTCCTATACATGAGGAAGTTGGAGGGGGGAAAGAGAAGGAAGAAAAGAAGGGAGAGCAGGAAGAGGGGAGAGGGAGAAGGAAGAGGGAAAACCAAGACCTGCTGGAAACAATGGACCATTTTGCTAGAAATTGCTGGAGTCTAACAAGTGGTATGATATTAACAGACAAAAGGCCATCTATATAGAAGCTTAACAGGGGAGATCAGTGAAAAATTCAAAGGCAATCCTGTTAAAATCACTGTCACTAACACCCTTCTGCAAGCAATGAGAAGCACAAGCTCTAGAGCAGGCAAGTGTAACTGGGGGGTTCTTCTGTTCAGCTCTACTGACAGGATTGAAGTTCCTCTCCAGGCATGGCAGACCAAGAACACCCGGCCTCAGTGACTTGCCCCAGCTAATACACAGGACTGAGGCGCTAAACCAGGGGAGAGGCCAGGAAGACCAGGAGCTACTGCCCCTGCCTATCACTCCATTCATAAAGCAAGAGTGCCGCTCCAGGACTGCAAGCTGCTGATTGCCTTCTGGAGTAGTTGAACAGAGGTTCTAGTAAAGAGGGAACACAGGCCATTGGACAGAACACACCGTAGAGATTTCTAAGCAAACTAGTTTTATTTGGAATACCTGGGAAAGTTCAAGTGTGAGGACACTATCAAGAACAGTGGAGATTTAGGTAGTGAGCAAGTAAGAAGGGCTATAAACTCATGATAGCAAGAAGTGAAAGGGTAGACCACCTAAAATTTTAGCAGAATAAGTAGAGAAAGAAACAGCTAAGAAGCACATGATGGTTATCAGAGAAGTGTGGAAGACTGGCCTCAAAGACTTTCCCTGCAGAGGGGCCTGATGTTAATTTCATTGAACTGTGGGGCAATTTATGGCCCAAGGCATCTTGAAAACAATAGACCATTCAGTTAGAAATTGCTGGAATCTAACAACTGTGATAGCAGTAGAGACAACAGACCATCTAGAAGCTCAACAGGGAGATCAGTGAAAAAGTCAGAAAACCCTGCTAGAGTTACTTTCTCTTTGGGTGAGAAAGGAAAAAGGCAGGGGATTATGAGTATGCCCATGACTGTAAATCCCAAAGTCAAAACTTACTACAAAGCTACAGTAAATCAAAATTATGTAGTGAATCCTTCAGAATGAAAATACATATCAATGAACAGAATCAACGAACAGAAATAAACCTTTACATTGATTGTCAATTGATGTCTGATAAAAGCTTCAAGATTTAATCAATAGGTAAAACATAACTTTTCCAACAAATGTGCTGGATAACGCAAATCACTACATGCAAAAGAATGAAGATATACTTCTTATAACAGACACAAAAAATAATTCAAAATTGATCATAAACTAAATGTAAAAGGACACTAAAACTGATGGAAAAAGCAGAAGTAAATTTGTCGATAACATTGATTGTGGCAAACTTTTCCTATTACACTTCTAAAACCACAACTGACAAAAGAAAAAAAAAAAAAACAGATAAATTGGGTCTCATCAAAAATGACTTTCTTTGTACTCCAAAGAAAGTGAAAAGGGCAGTTCACAGAATGAGAACAAAATACTTGTAAATCACATAGTAATAAGGCATGTATATCCTGAATATGTAAAAACCTCTTACAGTTCACTGATAAAAAGACAAATGATCCACTTTAAAAATAGACAAAAGATCTGAAGACATTTCTTAAAAAAAAAGATACAAAATGGTTAAAGAAAAGGGACTCAAGTCATTATTCTTGAGAGAGATAAAAATCAAAACTGTAATGAAATACCATCACTTAACACTCACAAAAAACTTCAGAATAGCTAAACAACAACAACAAAAACAGGTAATAACCAATGCCAGTGCAATGTTGGCAAGGATGTGGTGGGAATCTGCACTTGATCTTAGCCAAAAGGCTGAGAAGTGATGTGGTGGGAATCTAAAATGGTAATGTTTATCTGCTTCTCAAAATGTTAGACAGAGAATAACCATATGACTCAACAATTCCACTAATTATATACCCAAGAGAATTAAAACCTATATCTACTCAGAAATTTTTACATGAATATCTTTAGCAGCATCATTCATATGAGCCAAAACTCAACCCAAAGGATTATTAATTGTTGAGTGGATAAATAAAGTGTGGAATATATTTACAATGTAATGAAATAGCAATGTGTGCAAAAACACAACCACCCTTGAAAACTTATGTAAGTGAAAGGAGCCATTACAAAAGACCACATAGGCCTCTATTCATATGACTTTCCAGAATGGGCCAATCTGTAGAGAAAGAAATTAGATTACTTGTGCTCAAGTCTGGAATGCAAGAAAAATGGGAAGGGGGTTGTGGATTGAGAGAGACTGTTCATGGTTATGAGGTTTTCTTTGTGTTGATGAAATATTCCAAATTCATGTTAATGCTTGCAAAAGGCTGTAATTATACCAAAAGTCATTGAATTGAATACTTAATTTTTTAAAGATTTATTTATTTTATACAAGAACTGAGGCACAGGCCAGAAGTGCCAGAAGGTGAGAGGATTCACCAGAGATAGAGCGGGGAACAGAACAGGTAGATGGTCCGAAGATCCTGCTGAGGGGAGCAGCGGGCGAGACAGGAGAGGACTGCCGTACCCTGTGGGTAGCTCCGTGGCCGGCTGGGAATCAAACCCGTACAGCAGAGGCTGCGGACAGCTTCACAGCACTGTGTTCAACCCACTGTGCCACCGGGGAGGTCCAAATTGTATATTTTAAATAGGTACAGTATGTGTTTTATTTCTCAATAAAACGGTTCTAAAAACTAAGAAATGAGACAGGGAAAGCGGTTCATTTGTTATTACTCACAGTCATAACCACACACACATACACACACAAACACACAAAGACAACTGGTTTTTGGTTACCTGGGATACCATCCAGAAAGCAGTATGGAGTCACTATTCTATCTCCTATCTCTTAGTGGTCCACATTTGCTCCAAAGGATATCAATTCCTTATTTTTAAAATTTTTTTACAGAGTACTAGTGGCTGTATATGATCATACATCTTGCAATGCAAAGCTTCATGTTGAAATAGAACAAGTTATATCCTCCTTGGGTGCAGCAAAGCTGAGACTTTGAATGTCTTGGACATACAGGAACCATGAATAACTGCTAGAGCAGAAGACAGTAGAGAAGCTTTCATTTCTTTTAGCATGCCCGCAAAAAAAATGCCAGAACTAGGGAAATGCAAAAACTGGTGGCTTCAATATAGAAACTCCCCTACCACACAAGAGCCCACAGGGCCAGAACTGGAGGATGGGCTACATGCAGTCCTTTTGTGAAACAGATGCAGCTGCTCCTTACCTGTTGTAAAAACTGACCTCAAAGCTTATGGAGAAAACAAAGACACTCTAGCTTCCTTAGTCTACTGGGTAAGAAGCTAGGATTCCAATAATAACTATCCATGCAGTGGCTCAAGGGTATATGCCTAGGAAGACCAATCTAATGTGGGACCACTTAAATAAGCCAGTTTGTAGGAGCCAGAGCAAATGGTCAAGGCCCATGGAGATGGAGTCATGAAATCCTGGGGGAGGAAGAGATGATTGCTCATAAACTAATTATGACTAAAATAAAAATGCCTCCCTGATCAATTTATTCCCTAGCAGGATGGAAGCGACCTATAGATGCTAACCCCTCATTACCTCTCCGTTTCCACTTATCCAAATCTACTTACTCTCTTTTTCAATCCTTTGTAATAATAAATGCACCTCCCTTTGACTAGGAGTTCCCAGTTCTATCTTCCATCACTGTCCTTAATCTGAATATTGCTTTATGGTCCTCAACTCAGAAGCTTTGTATGTCCTTCCACCCTGGAAAAGGGTTTCTCTCAGCTTTTTCCAGGTAACCTCTTCTCCCTAGAGATGGCAGTTTCATCACCATAGGAGCTATCATGAGAACCTTCAAGTCTCCAGGGCTAGTACAGTGCCTGACACAAAGGGTCTCACTTAATTGACAGATGTTGAAATCCATGTCACAATAAAAAATCTTTTCCCACCAGCCTTATCTTTCCCACTCTAATTTCCTCCATAATGAAAAATTAAATTTTCCTTCAATGTTTCATTTCCATATAAGACTCAAAATTAAGGTAGATTATGCTAAGTCTTGCTGGAATAAACATACTAAAGGAGTTTCTTGATGAGACAACATCCAGGGGTGGTTAAGAACATTGACTCTAGAGCCAGATGAACTGGGTTCAAATCCAGCTTTAATATTTGTTGGCTGTTCGACTTTGGGAAAGTTACTTACCTTTCTGTGCCTTGGTTTCCTCAGCTGTAATGCAAAGAAAACAATGGGCTTACAGGTGTTCTCAGTATTAAATAAGTTAATATTCTCAAAGGGCTTAGAAAAGTGCCTAACATATAAGAAACACTAGGGAAGAATTTAAGAAAAGGGGGAGAAGATGGAGTGATGAAGAGGAACTTCCTTCATTCCACAAACTTGAAGAATTCACTCTTACAAGTCCTGGGGATAACAGGAAGGGAAAGATGTTGTCTTAAGAACAGAATGTGATGTTTCAAGAGCACATCTTGTGTTGGACAGCTTTCCCTAACTAGAAGAGAGAGGATGCAGACATTTGGGGGTATAGGGGCAGTTGATAAGAAGGAGTCTTATAATTGGATCCTCATAGTTT